TAAATTCACGCCATATCCCATCCTTCAAACCGAAACACAGCCATGCAAACACAACTGCTTTACGGTTGAAACACGAATGGGACAGAGGTACCTAAGCAAGCGACTTTTGTACAAAGTCTCCCTCTGGTAAAACCTACATTGTATGTTATTAAAATTAACATTGAACTATAAAGAGAGTAAACCCTTTCGAACTGGCGACAAGAATCGCGTAATATAACAAAAAAAAAAGTTAATAGAAAAAATACTGAAAAATTCAGTCTTTCCTTTTATTTTTTTCACTCGAAGACTGAATCTGTAAGAGATTGCAATTTAAAGATAAGCTCGCCTTGCTTTTTTTAATGTTATTTGTGTTGGTAGGAAAGGGATTGTTGGTAATAAAGTTTTTCAGCCCTATCGCTAGCAATATATCCTGACAGGGTCGACCTCCACGCGGTTTCTTCTGGAAACCATCGTGGTTAATTCTTTATGAATTCATCACTACGGGCTAACTTGCTTGGTATATTTTTTAAATAAATAGAATACAGATCTAGACATACACTTCACACATAACCGGTAGAGAGTAAGAGTGTTGCTATGTGTGAAAATTTTATTATTCTTTTTAAAAAAATATTTATGTTGGCAACACATCGTTTATTGATTTAACTTTTACTTAACAACTGAACAATCTAAGCACGTGATGACACGAAATCAAATTCAATGTTTTATAAACTGTAAAAACGTTTTAACATTTTGGTCCTTCGAGCCGGATTTTTCAACTATCTTCTTTTAGAATTTATGTTAAAAAAAAACCCAGTCCAATCCACATGTCAGTCGATCCTTCGTATGTGCACGTATTAAAAGGTTCGAGAGCTCATTAGGAGGGCTTAACGAGTTAGCTTAGCTTGGTGGGTACGCTCGACTTTCCAACTCTGCATTCGACTTTTTGCCTCTACATTTATGTTTTGTTTTCCTACTCACACATGTTTTACATTTATTGAAACATATGTGTAATAAAACATTATTTTATTTATTTATTTATTCATTAGTACAAATATGTGTACATGTCGGACTTAATGCTAAAAGCATTCTCTCCCAGTACAATAATACGAGTATACAAATGATTGCTGAATGTGTTGCTAAGCGCAAATCTCGATAACAGTTGAACCGATTTCGCTAATTCTTTTTTTAGAATATTCCTTAAAGTACGAGGATGTTTCTTAAGGAGAGTAAAATTTAAAAAATGCCTGAAAAGTTTTAAAACAACATTTTTCTATATAATCCCATACACAAGATTCGTAATATTACTTAAAAGACAATTTGAACTTTAATACCATACCATAAGGTTCAAGTTTTAGTGGAGAGGTTTCGGGAAGGCAAAACAATTGAGTGACGTGACACGGCGTGTTATATATATATATTTTTTTTTTGACAAAAAAATAATTGTTCATTTATTAACTTTCTTTTTTTCTTTTTTTATCTTACGAACTGACCCAGCGTCCCGAATAGTAGAATAAGTATTAAAAAAAAACTAAAAAATTAAGAATCGACTATTAGACGGTACGACGTTCCCAGGGTCAGCTAGTATGTAAATAAATTGATATAACAGGACTTAATAAGAGCAATAAAAGCTAACAGCATCATTTTTAATACTCGTGACTGTCTCTATCCTTCTGTCTGCACACGAAAATTACTGTATCAAACTGAATGCAGTTTTCAAAGTTATGTTCCTAAATTTTAACTTTTAGTTTAACTTATAAAGTGGTATATATTTTATGTTGATACGCCATCTAGTGGTTGCCAACTTAAGTGCCTAAAAGTTTAACTTATAAATTGGTGTATGTTTTAACTTAATACGCCATCTACTGGTTGCCAATTTTAAAAATACACGCGTACAAAGATGCGGGTAGAAGGTAATTCTTCGTACAATTATTAACTTACGTGTAATATCTATCTATCCTATTTAAGAGCTGCGCTCTTGGCGGTGGAGCTCTTGCCACTCAACAATTTGCGGCGAGTCTCTTCACCTCTTGATACGACACGACACCAACTCCTTCCTTAATCTGCCTGATGTAATGCCTTGGTCTTCCTTTTTCCCTCCTTCCTTCTATCTTACCTTCTATAATAATATTCATAAGTTTGTCGTATCGTAATATGTGTCCCATGATGTTTTTCCTTCTGTACTCAATAGTTTTACGTCTCCTTTCCTTAACCCTAAGCAGGATATCCTCGTACCAATTCGATCTCTCCAGCTGATTTTTTCCATCCTTCTCCAGTACTACATTTCAAATATATAGAATAGAATAGAATAGAAACATTTATTGCCAGTAAACTTACAATATAAAATATAAATAACATATACAAAAAGTGTCCCATACTCGGCAAAAGGAACCGGCTCAGCCGATGCTGCGAGTGTCCCAGCGCAATGTGAACAGCTGCACAGCGCTGGTTTTCAGCCAGTGCCTCTCTTAACAAAACAACCAAAGTGCAGGGTACCACTGTACATTACTTTTTACAAGAATTATTTCTCGATACTAATTAAAAAAATACTAATTAAAAAAAAAAGGAAAGAAGTTTTTATTTGTGCCTATATCACGAGTAATAAACGTAATTTAATATCTCTAATGAATTTAGTAGACGGGACGTATGCTTTCAACCACTTACGACCGCTGTGTTTACTTTTAATAATTTAAGTAAATGCTCTTTGCATAATTATGAAGGTAAAATTTAATTTACCGTGCAAACTCCATGGGGACGCTTGGTTACGCCACATATTCTAAATGACCATGATTTCTAAAGACATGGCTAAAGTGTTTGCGCTCCTTGATGAACATTATTCTCTTTACTAAGTCCTTCTCCTCCGGATATAGCCCTCTGCAACGGCAACACTTGGGTGCCGTGAGCATCCCAGTGTCATTTTCATGTCTATAAACGACAGTTATAACTTTCTACCAGGTAGGCCATCAGCTTTTTTTTTATACAACTTAGAATAGCAAACAAGCTGACGGTCCACCTGATGGAAAGTGGTAACCGTCGCCTATAGACATAAGCAGTACTATGGACATAATAGAGTATACTGTTTCGCCCATGATACACCCCATGCGTAGCCATTCCTGAGGACTCAGTTATTATTTCTCTGTATTCAGTAAATTAACGCCATATCCCACCCTTCAAACCGAAACACAGCCATGCAAACACAACTGCTTCACGGTTGAAACATGAATGGGACAGAGGTAACCAAGCAATCGACTTTTGTACAAAGTCTCCCTCTGGTAAAGCTTGTCACTTATCGTTAAAATAAAAAAGAAATTAAATTATCTATACTTGTAATACTGTATTTGGCCCCCATCAATAACTCCTTATCACGACAAACGATCCACTTTCTTCAACCATTTCAATATTTTACATTTGTGAACTAAACACCTCAGGTAAAGTATTCATCACACTCGTGGCACGTACGGACGTGACACGGAATTCATTACGTTATATTGGCAATACAGAGAACGATACTGTTATCCACAACTCCTTTCTTTACGCGACAACATGAGACTTATGTTTTTACACGTATCTATTCATTCTTTTTTTTATATACAACTTAGAATGGCATACAAGCTGACGATCCACCTGATGGAAAGTGGTAACCGTCGCCTATAGATATGAGCAGTACCATGGACATAACAGAGTATACTGTTTCGCCCATGATACCCCCATGCGTTGCCATTCCTGAGGACTCAGGTGTTATTCCTCTGTACCCTGTAAATTCACGCCATATCCTACCCTTCAAACCAAAACACAGCCATGCAAACACAACTGCTTCATGTTGTCTACATGGACATAATATTTATTTATTTATTCATTAAAATAATTAAAACAGTAAAAAAACAAATTAATGTTATAAACCTAGAGTGGTTACATACAAAACTATAATAAAGGTATTTAACCCAACTCCAGATATTTCTGATTAGTTTCTGATATCTTTTTAATATCTTTTTACAAGCTTTTCGCCACGACTTCGTATGCGTGGATTTACGAGGTGGTAGGAAGAGATACAAAAATATTATTTATAATTAATAATAGAAAATAACCAATTGAAATTTATTAGGTATCTGAAAGAAGGCGCGTAGTCTAGCTGCTGGGCTATCAATATTTATTTAAGAGCAACTCTTTCACATCTGGCAATTTTGGTTAGGAGCTCTGTTAGAACAAGGAATTACAAAATCTTTGGGCTACTAGGCGCTTACTTTTACGCTTTACCCAAATGTAAAAACGTTTCCCCTCAATTTAATACGATTTCATTCTCTTTTACCCAATCATAAATTTTATAACTCATAGATCTTCACTTTTTTTTACTATTCACTTCATTTTACCATGTAACCAGTAAGCGAAAAATAATTAAATAATTTAAAAAAATCTGTACACGTTACTTGTTCACGTCCTATTGCTACTTTAATTGAATTTAAATACTGCTATACGATTTATAGCATTAATTTTTTACCACAAATTACATTAACAATTTTATTTTTCCAAAATTGTATCTAAAAATGCGCAGATAACAAATTTGGCAACAGTCCTAATATCATAAGAGGGCAATTACATGATTCACAAAAGGTTCTGAAAAAAAATAGTAATACTAGTAAGTAGGTAGTAGAAGAAATATGTATTCATTTGTTGTGAATAGCAGGATACAGCAATAAAGTATTTGAGATATAAAATAATAAGTTTAGTGAAAAAATACGAGACATGTCTTATAAAAATCTGACATAGAACTAACTTAAAAATAATACATTGTTCTAAAAACCTCAGTGTCAAAAGCCAGTATTAAAACTTCAATATTATTAATGCATAGAAGTAGAAAAAAATAGTAAGGAGTAAACTCTGTCGATTGCAAAAAGAATTTTGAAAATCTGTCCACGATTAGTAACATAATTGGTGTTATGTCTCAAAAAAAGTCTCAAAAAAAAACTAGATGAATTAAGAAATCCCCATTTTTTAGAAGTTATTTAAAACCACACATTTTTGTCTAGGTACTGGCCGCGCTGGCAGTGTCGTTGGCACCATTCTCTGCTGGACTTGGCAAGGGTTACAGCTCCCCGGCCATAGCATCATTGCAGGGTCCTGGAGCCAACGCCACCAGGAGGGACTTCCAATTGACTGACCAGCAGGCGTCGTGGTTGGCTTCTTTGTCATTCTTGGGTATGTTTCTGGAGAAATATAACTTTCTGGAGAAAATGCTTGAGAATTAAGAACTATTTATTTTATGGTTTTCTTATGTTATTGTAGAACCTCGCCCTACCCATCGTCTATAAATATAAGCAGCACCATGGACAGAGTACACTATAATACCTAGGATCTTTAAGGGCTTGCCATACCTGAGGACTATGATTTTCATTGCCATATCTCACCCTTCAAGCTGAGACATATCTTTTCAACTGCACATATTATCCCTCACTGAGGCCCCGCCAGCGTATGCCACTAGTGCAAGCGGGGTTACTATTCTGTTATCATATAATGTAAAAAAAGTTAAACTGAAAAGACAGTCTATCTAATAGAGTGAAAATAATCACCTATAGACATAAATACTCGTAGCACCATGGAGAACAGTGATTAAGTTATTAAAATCTGTAAAATAACATAACATCGCGTATCATTTACAATACATAAAAAAAAACAGATCGAGAATCTCTTTTTTGAAGTCGGTTGAAAACTCCTTTAATATATAACTTCACTAAATAGAAGAAAAAAACTAAAACATTTTCAGCTGTACAAATAACCGAAAAATAATGACCTATATAGTGTTTTCTATTTGGATAAATATAGTAAGTTTCAGTTATACGAAATAAGGCGTTGGTGGTGTAATGGTCAGCATAGTTGCCTTCCAAGCAGTTGATCCGGGTTCGATTCCCGGCCAACGCATAGTTTTACATAAGTTGCAAGTTTAATTAGCTGAACAATGTTCACGTGGTTTAAAATATATAATTTAAATATTAAAATATGGAGTAATAATTAAAGTTTAAACATTTGAACATATGATACAACAGCGTTGGTGGTGTAATGGTTAGCATAGTTGCCTTCCAAGCAGTTGATCCGGGTTCGATTCCCGGCCAACGCATAGTTTTACGTAAATTGCTAGTTTAATTAGCTTGTACAGTGTTCATGTAATTAAAATATGATGTTTAAAATAAATTACAAAATAATATACAACGCACAGTTTTACACAAATTGCGAGTTTAATTAGCTGAATAGTATTCTTGGAACTGTAAAATAACTTAAATATTAAAATACGTAATAATAATTAAAGTTTAAACATTTGAACATACACTACAACAGCGTTGGTGGTGTAATGGTCAGCATAGTTGCCTTCCAAGCAGTTGATCCGGGTTCGATTCCCGGCCAACGCATAGTTTTTATTCAAGTTGCGAGTTTAATTAGCTGAATCATGTTACACTACACATTGCAATGTTTCAGAAAATTCTTACCTAACATAGCATTATACCTACTAAAAATTTAAATTACAAAAGTCAGCACAAGCATATAATAATAATTAATAATCATTAATACTATTTACATTGTTAGAAAATTTCTTTCAACGTCACTTACACCGTCTTCATACATTATTTAGAGTTATCAATACTTAGTTAAGGCCCGCATGGTTGACCATTTTACTCCCATAAAAAAGAAAATATTACATAAATATAATAATAATTTATATTTTTCCGCAATTTTACATTTTAATATACGCATGGTACATGAAATAAGTGCATACAGTTGAGATTGTGTGAGGCTAAAGATCAAACTAGACTCGAAGTCTATATTCCTGTATCCAGTATCTTACCAGAGGGAGACTTTGTACAAAAGTCGATTGCTTGGGTACCTCTGTCCCATTCGTGTTTCAACCGTGAAGCAGTTGTGTTTGCATGGCTGTGTTTCGGTTTGAAGGGTGGGATATGGCGTGAATTTACTGGGTACGGAGGAATAACACCTGAGTCCTCAGGAATGGCAACGCATGGGGGGTATCATGGGCGAAACAGTATACTCTGTTATGTCCATGGTACTGCTCATGTCTATAGGCGACGGTTACCACTTTCCATCAGGTGGGCCGTCAGCTTGTTTGCCATTCTAAGTTGTATAAAAAAAAAACAATTTGTTAGAGAGAGCACCACTTAAAATCAAACAAAAAAAACACTGAACTTTGTTGGCATTGACAAATGGTGGGCAAAGTACATACAAAATTGATAACAGAAACCTTATTTTTGGAGAATGACAAACAAGCTAACTGTCCACTTGATGGAAATTGGTAACTTATAAACATGAACAGCACCATCGACGTCACAGAATGCACTGTATTCTCCATAGGACCCGTCATGCGTTCCCGACCATGGTGTTATGTCTCCGTCATTATCCGCATTTAGCTGACATGACACCATTCTAGTGCTTTTTTGGTAATTTTTAAATATATTTGTAATTAAGTGTGAAATTAAGCACTGAATATTTTTTTTCAAAAGAAGTGACAATTGTCGCCATGTATGTTTCAGGAGCTCTCTTCGGCGGAATGGCTGGTGGAGCAGCAATGCGTCACGGTCGTCGCCGCGTGCTTTCCCTGGCCGCAGCACCGTGCAGCCTCTCTTGGCTGCTCACAGTCCTGGCCACGTCAGTCAGGATGATGTGCATCACCGCCTTCTTGGGGGGGTTCTGCTGTTCTATATTAACGATGTTGTCGCAGGTGTGTTTTTTTATATGTGATAATAAGTAAAATGTCTGTAAATTGTACACTTGTGCAATTGACACTGGCGACCTGTGAGGAATCAATTAGATCACCTTATCATCATATCAGCCTTTAACTGTCCACTGCTGAATATAAGCCATCCTTTCGGAGTTTTACTAGTAGTTGCCACGCTGTAAGGCTGAATGGCAACTTCGCGGGAGGAAATTTCTTTGAAACCGCACTATACGTTTGTATAACTAAAAGCGCCATTCGAAATTTGTTGACATAGCTCAGGATGCCATTTGGAATAAACGAAAATTAAATGTTTTTAAACAAAGCTAAAGTTAAAATTAATTTAGTTAAGCATCGTGTGCCCGCTTATAATGAATTTACATAGACAATGTAAGTCAACAAGATAGCGCAGTACAGTTCAGCTCAACCATTAAAATTCTGTCGAACCATTCAAGATTCTGTTTTATCTCTGGCCCCTTGTCACTGGCAAATCATTGCAAATTGAACTTTATCGCTGTAACATTAGGCCATAATCCGTTCAGTAGATAATAAATGCTTTTATCTTGTTGAAGAAACTAATTTTCAGTAGGCCCGCATATTCGCAAAGCAATTACTGAGGTGTCACAGTTTAACGAAAAGGGCAGGACAGTCTCCAAGGATTCGCACATTTTAGATTTTCTTAGAATTTGCCGATTTCTGTTGTCAAAAGTATAATACTTATTTTAAGATTTAAATTTTTCACCCGACTTCAAAACTACGACTGTTTCGCCCATGATACCCCCATGTGTTGCCATTCCTGAGGACTCAGGTGTTATTCCTCTGTAGCCTGTAAATTCACGCCGTATCTCAAATCGAACAAATCGACCCTTCAAACCGAAACACAACCATGCAGACACAGCTGCTTCACGGTTGAAACACGAATGGGACAGAGGTACTCAAGCAATCGACTTTTGTACAAAGTCTCCCTCTAGTAATATTTTAAATAGCTTTTTTTTTTGTTAAAATAATATAAGTAACATTACCAATGACCTTAGTGGAGTAGCGCTTAACAATTGTTGCTGATTCGCTGCATCCAGTGGTTGCAGGTTCGAATTTAATAATTCTTTTTTTATTTTGATAATTAATATCATTTAAATTAATTTCCATTCAGTCATTTTTTCTTGTATTAGAAATATCATTAATTTGTTAATTTTTTGTAAGTATTTTATTCTGAGAAAATATCTTTCTATTTTGAAATGCGCGTCACCGTATTTTGGGTGCTTAGCTTTAGGTCGTGTGACTCTACGGGTAATTCAAACATTCTCTTCAACGTTTATGATTCAAATTAAAAATTTCTCTTCACAGTCTACTGGAATTCTTCTGAATTGACAGTGGAATACATGGCCAAAATCGTTTTCAATCACAATTAAATTGTTTGTCTTTAAACTGAAGAAATTTAAATATCATTTATATATATATATATATATATATATATACATGGCCATATATATCGATATATATATATATATATATATATATATATATATACAGAGTGTAATGAATGGATAACTTTGAAACGCCTTATACTTCAACTTATGGCCGTCCTAAAAAAATACGAAACAAAATATATCATAAGTAGTACCTTTGTTATCTTTATTTTAAAGAAAAGTCAAATTTTTCTTATCTTATTTTACTGTCCTGATCACTATGACCAGAAATGAATGGATTCTATTGGTATTTTGTTGTTTTATTATTATACACGAACTGCGCTGATAGATAGAAAATGAATAGTATGACTAGCTGTTACAGTTTTTTTTTTAATACGCAAACTAATTTATTTTTGAAAAATTTGCAAAAAAAAATATTTTTTAAGCAAAGTTCAAACCTCTAGGATATAAAAAAAATATATGAATACATGGGTGACAAATAATTTTAAAATAATTTCTGTTTCAAGTAGATTTCACAATGGTACAATTCATAACTGTATCTATCATAAATAGTGACTTATTGCCATTAATGTAGAAAAGGAGAAAATTTGACTAAATAACAAAATTTGTAATATGGGAACATTTTTTAAATTGAAACGTATCTCATCATTGGGGAATAATAAAAAAACAACATTTAATATTCAAAATAATTTATTTTACATAAATTTACAATAAATACTCAAATTGTTTTCCTCCCACTCTTGTGCATGCCCTGCATCTTCGGATAAATTCTCTTCTGAGCAGTCTTGTCTACCGTCGCTCATTTATTTTCGATGCGGCTGCTCTGACACGACTGCGTAATTCGTCCAAACTTATTAATTAATTGACATGACATAATCATTAATTAAATGACATGAGCAGTACCATGGACATAACAGGGTATACTGTTTCGCCCATGATACCCCCCATGCGTTACCATCCCTGAGGACTCAGGTGTTATACCTCTGTACCCATATTCTATTGTAATCTTTTAAAATAAATAATAATAATCTATCTATCCAAACGAGTCCATCAAAAGCGTAAATATGTTACATATATCAACCTATAAAAAACATCATTCATTAATTTTTTTATATAATGAATGAAATTTGTTATTACTATGTTACTTTATCATCATTTCAGCCACTATCTATCTATCCACTGCTAGATCTATATCTAGCAGTGGATAGATAGATAGTGGACAGATAGATATCTATCCTATATCCTACGATATAGGATAGATATAGGCATCCCCAATGCCTTTCAACATATGCAATTCTCCGCTCTTCACACTAAGGGTCACACATTGTTAGTCCTTTTCATTGTGGGCTTTATGCCCATAAATCACCACAGCTGGGCAAGTAGACTAGAATTTTTGGAAAGATTTTTGAATGGGTTTTCGAAAGGATTTTTAAAAAAGTTTATTAGAAGGGGAAGGATGTCGCTATGTGGGAAGATATGGGATTAGAGACAGCTGTGATCTCCGGCGGGCGTACCCGTATTCATTGGAAAGATAAACCTATAGAAAAATGTTATATTTTTAATATTCATACCAAGACTACCTTCCAATTTCACGAGCATGCAACACCCCATGTATAATTGATACTCATAAACTCTAAAACTTTCCGAGTCGAGGCATTTTCCCTAAATAGCGAGCAAGTTGTACCTTACCGGAACGTTCAAGTTAGAAAATTCTCACAACATAGGGTTGTCCAGTTGAAAAAAATAATAGATTATATTTAAAAAAAATTGTATAAATAATATACATTTGTACTAAACGAGTGGCGGTCCTACATCGTGCGTTTTTACGACACTTTCTTCCACGCACAACCACTCTTTGGTGTCAACTTCCAGCAGCAGTATTTCCGAACCGATACGACAACGTAACCTTCAAGAAAAGAGCATATTCCTTTTTTAAAGGCCGGCAGCACACCTGCAAAGCCTCTGGTGTTGTGGGTGCTCATGGGCGGCGGTGGTTACTTACCATCAGACGAGTCGTATGCTCATTTGCCTCCTGTAGTATAAAAAAAAAATATTAGAAAATTTTTTATTTTTCTTTGACGGGGCAAGAGTTTCAATTGAATCATTATAACGACTTTTTAAAACTAAATTGCTCGATGCCCATCATATTTCGAGTCTCTTTTATCTCAAGTCAACCTGTGGGCTGTATATACTCAAAAATCCTACAGCGACCTCCGTATCCAATATAATAACGCGTTCAGGCTGTTGATGGGGCTGCCACGATTCTGTAGCGCGTCGGGAATGTTCGCAGAGCATCGTGTAGATTGTTTTTATGCCACGATGCGGAAAAGGTGCGCATTCCTGGTGCACAGAGTACGTGCCAGCGCCAACAGCATCCTGAGTATGATGGCGAGCAGGCTGCACTGTGTGCACGTTAATCACTGCTGCGCAATTTCCAATGTAATTGTGCAGCGGTAATTATCTGTATATTATTTAATATATTATCTGTGTGTGTGTGTATTGTGTATGTAAATTTACTAACATTAGTTTTAAGAATATTGTTACTAATAAATATTTAAATGGACCAAAAAAGTCCGAAATAAAAATTATCATTATTATTATACTGGTGTACTGTATTTTACTGGTCTTGCCTTACAATACCAGGGGGAGACTTTGTACAAAAGTCGATTGCTTGGGTACCTCTGTCCCATTTGTGTTTCAACCGTGAAGCAGTTGTGTTTGCACGGCTGTGTTTCGGTTTGAAGGGTGGGATATGGCGTGAATTTACTGGGTACAGAGGAATAACACCTGAGTCCTCAGGAATGGCAACGCATGGGGATATCATGGGCGTAACAGTATATATATGCGTATGTTATGTCCATGGTACTGTTCATGTCTATAGGCGACGGTTAGCACTTTCCATCAGGTGGGCCGTCAGTTTGTTTGCCATTTTAAGTTGCATAAAAAAAAAACTACTAAAGGCAAATAAAAGTCCAAACGAATTGTCAATTCACTTGAAGAATGTGGTATTCATCCCTTATAGACGTGGCAAAAACATTGTAGCCATAAAAATGGTCCACTATGAAGAATATCACAGATATCGCCATAGTCGTAGAGTACTGACGGATCTATATATGTAATCTTCGTCAGATCCGTCAGTATTCTACGACTATGACGATATATCACTTATTAAGCCTTTTTTTATAATACTTAGAGTAACGAAAAGGCATAAGAGGAATAAGACTCGAGAAGAATCTAAGAATAGGTACTCTTTTATTTAAAAAAATACAAAAAAAAAAATTAATGTTGCCAACCCTATATAAAAAGGAAAGTTGTTCGCAATAAAATTATTATTTATTAGTTCCCAAGCTGAGATGAAAACGAAATGAGCTCTTATTTGTTCTAGAAGTACCAACAGATGTTTAATTATAAATTAGATAATTGGTTTAAACAAGATTACTGTGATTGAATGGTGTTGTTTGAGAGATCAGATCGCTCCGTCTATTTCCCTGCTCTCAATGGCTCATTAGTTTTTACGTCGCAGGGTTAAAGTCTTGTAATTCCATTTTCTGGAAAATTTATTTGATCGAATATTTATAGGTAAACTTTGCCAGTTCGTGTTTAATATTGAACGATCCTTTGAAAGTTGGTGTTCCGAACATTTTTTACTACATATAAAATTAATATAAATCATTTACTTTATTTTAAAAGCGAAAGATTATAGGGAAAGATTGTACCAAAAAAAAATTTTGAATCAAAGTATAATCATTTATTTCCTGAGGGAGACTTTGTACTAAAGTCGATTGCTTGGGTACCTCTGTCCCATTCGTGTTTCTACTGTGAAGCAGTTGTGTTTGCATAGCTGTGTTTCGGTTTGTAGGGTGGAATATAGCGTGAATTTACAGGGTACAGAGAAATAATATCTGAGTCCTCAGGAATGGCAACGCATGGGGGTTAGCATGGGCGAAACAGTCTACTCTGTTATGTCCATAGTACTGCTCATGTTTATAGGTGACGATTACCACTTTCCATCAGGTGGGCCGTCAGCTTGTTTGCCATTCTAAGTAGTATAAAAAAAAAAAAAAACTTAAAGTTAACAAGATGTACAATTCAAATATGCATGGATATAGATACCGAGAAATACCTTTTTTTTTGTCGAGAGGAAATGCTCATGCAGATCCACTTACCTCAGGGAAGATATGTGGGTACTGCCGGTCTCTTACCGGCTAAAACTCCCCGGAGGTACATGATCCGCCTGTTGTCGAAGCCGCAGAGAAACCAGGAAAGACTTGTCTTAGGTTAATGTAAGTCTAAGACAAGATAGACCATGTTTTATACGTAACGGGTTATGAAAGATCAGTAATCAAGAGATGTGTGTAAATATAGATCTTTGCATTTAGTTTTCTCTGCCTACACCACAAGAGATATAGCGTTAATATAGATAAATATTTAACAATGTTAGTTCTTATTTCTAATATTACATTCTCTAAATTCCAGGTCTACATCAGTGAGATATCAGTCCCTGATATTCGCGGTTGCCTGAGCGCCGTCCTTAAAATCGTCGGGCATCTAGGCGTCCTATTTAGCTTCACCATTGGTGCCTACCTGGACTGGCAACAACTAGCACTATGCATATCTGCCGCTCCTCTATTACTCTTCTGTACAGTTCTCTACATACCAGAAACGCCAAGCTATCTCATGCTGATCGGAAAAGACGAGGAAGCGTATAAAAGCTTACTTTGGTTACGGGGACCTAATTCTGACGTTGCTCAAGAACTAGCCACGATAAGGACCAACGTACTCGCTAGTAAGAACTTTAGCCAAAGACAAAGTCAAATGTCTGGCACGCAGTTTATAAATTCGCTTGATGTAAGAACTATGAATAGACTACTTGGACCTATCCTAGTCACGTGCGGTTTGATGATGTTCCAAAGGTTTTCTGGAGCACATGCCTTCTCCTTCTATGCTGTTCCCATTTTTAGGAAGACATTTGGTGGCATGAACCCTCACGGAGCAGCTATTGCTGTCTCCTTTGTTCAACTGCTGGCATCTTGTCTGTCAGGATTGCTCATCGACACAGTCGGTCGACTTCCTTTACTCATAGTCAGTTCAGTGCTAATGTCAATGGCTTTAGCCGGTTTCGGAAGTTACGCGTACTACGAAGAAGTGCACAGAAACCAGAGAATTCAAAACGTGATGTTCCACCAAACAATAGGACAGAATGACTGGATTCCTCTCCTGTGTGTACTGGTCTTCACGATAGCGTTTTCCCTCGGCATGAGTCCGATATCTTGGTTGCTTATTGGAGAATTATTTCCTCTCGAGTACAGGGCATTTGGTAGTGCAATGGCAACAGCATTCAGCTATCTCTGTGCATTTGTTGGTGTTAAAACATTTGTAGACTTTCAGCAGACTCTTGGTCTCCATGGGGCATTTTGGTTGTATGCTTCAATAAGTGTTGGGGGTCTTTGTTTTGTCGTATGTTGCGTTCCGGAGACTAAAGGTAGGGATTTGGATGAAATGGATCCAAATTATGTGCAAAGTCTCTCACCTAAAAGGTAAAATGGATATTGACATAGTTAACTTGGAAAACGGTCTTTATAAGTGGAAGATCCTGTAAATTTGCTCATTCATTATTTATTTACAAATTTAAATGTGTTGTTTAGAATACCTGAGACATTGATTTGAATTTGTAATTTATTTGGGGTTTCTGTTTTTTTTTCTGTTTTGCTAAAAACAAAAACAAAAATCAAACAAAAATTCAGATATGTGAGTGTCTTTGTAAAGTGTAAGACTTTAATAAGAATAATATTTGTGTAACATTTATTTTTTTTTATTTATTTTTTTTTTATATCCAATGACGTATTAATTTTAACTTATTATTGTATTTAAATTATACCTTATATGATATTAAAAATAAATAAATCAAAAAGGGTAAGACACATGTGGTTGAGACATTTAACAATGCGGGTATATCCAAGTTAATTAGATGACTGTATGTAGGAACAACAATGAATCGAATCCACCGCAAAATTTTGGCTGTGCTTATTAAAATTTTTAAATGAAAAAGAAAAAAAAAAACTATAACGCCACACAATTTTATGGTGGTACTCTTACAGTTTAGTGGTTTAGTATAAATTGATGTTATACTTGCATATCTTTCAATCCATATCTTGAATTATCATTTGTAAATTTACATATATAATTGGAAAGAATAACACTGCATTTTAAAGTGTCGTGGAAACAAAATATATCACTTATTCTGATGGAATAAAAATAATAATAATTTAATTATAAACTCTATTAATTACTTAAAATTAAGAAAAACAACATATATAGTGATAATAACGCGCACGCGCACATAGAACGCATGGAAGTCGTACGAGGGTTCTTCTAACACCCGCCAGATGGCGAGGGCGGGCGATGTAGGGGCCTCGGATCGAACCCTATTGCTCCGGGATCTTCTCTGGAGGCTACTGCCTCTGGGTCGATGGGTTTAAAGCCGACATATACAGATGGTATGCATGCAAGTCAAAGGGAAATTGACAGTAAGAAACACTAGATGGCGCTGCATGGTTCACTTTCAACATATGCGAATTGAAATGTCATGTAATTAGACAAAACGCTTGATAGAAAGTTGTTGCTGTAATTTATAAACAAGTACGGTGATCTGGATTTTATTTAAGTACATCATGAAATACATGGTACCCCTCATGAGTGGTCATTTTTGAGGTTTTACCTCGTGGTATAAAATTTAGTTTTGAAGGAAGGAATTCTGTAGTAAGCTTACTAAAGTTTATTTTCAAATTAAAACACAATCAAGAAGGCACAGTTGAGATGACAGAGATGTTTACATAGATGACTTTACAAAAAACCCTCTAGTAAAGTAACTAACCCCTCTACTAAAAAACTACCTATATCATTATAAGTAATATTATTCTTAGGTTTCTTTAAAGAGAATAGAGTTCACATGTATATACTTTCAAAAGAGGGAGTTAGAGAAAATAAAGTAGATTTTTTTTTTATCATTTATTTGGGTAAACTAACAATGGCAAATTAAAGAATAAAACATAATAAAAGAAAAATAAATAAATAATAAAAGAAAACATTGAGTAAATTTGCTGCCAACTCCGTTTCCCACAGTTTCGAAATGTGAGTGTTATGAAGAATCAGAGCAGAAGGAAAGACTAAATGAATTTATTTGTATTACAGAAATTTTTGTTACTATAAAAAATATTTTAATAAGATTTTGGCACAAAATATTTTTTCATTCCATTAGTTACGACCACGTTTTTTGAGTGGCAGTGTTATTCTTTACAAGTAGGATTACAATCAATTTGTTTTACTAACTATAATTACCTATGTATTATAAGAGTGCTGTGGTCCATGGTTTACCTCTCTAATGTTCTCTCTAGAAGTTCTTAATATTAGTAAAAAAAAAAAAAAAAGTATTTCTCATATTCTGATTAGCAAAATTATCCTAACGATACATATTTTTAAATCGAGCTTTCCTACCTTACTATGACAATAATATAAGACAATAATGTTATTAACAAACAAATGTGTATATTGTAATAATAAATAATTAAAGCAAGTGCATTCGTATTCTAAAACGTTTCCTTACTCGACTCGGCTCGACTCGGTCTCACTCGTTGAAATCGGTATTCTTAGTTGGCAAAATAATTCTTTATTGAAGTGAGAAATGTTTGAGGTAAGAACTAAATCATTAATCTTAAACAAAATTTTCGCATTACTAGATGGCGCTAGAATCGAAACTTTTAGTGTTTGTTGATTATTTTTAAAATAGTCATTGGTGTATCGCTATACTAACAGTTTATCATAATTTTTTTCTTTATTATCTTATATTTGACTACTTTGTAAAAAAAAAAACACATACTAACAAAAAACTTTGCGATTGTACGAGATACTTCATTCAGGAAAAGATTGCGTATTATCTGTTATTTCACGTACAGATTCTCAAAATAATAGATGACGATGCACTAAAATTACGGTTTTTGAGATTTCCTTGACGAATTCTGAATGATAGCTTATTCAAGGTTTAAATCGAGGAAGCGTCTTAGACTACGGATGTTAGGGTAGAACTACTTAGTACAGTTTTTACCTATTAAGAAATATTTCGCGTCTAAAAAATTGTGTTTTAACGATTTAATTATGATTTAACGTTACAGAATCTAATAAAGTCTGCAAAACATTTATCAGTTCAATATAATTATACAATAACTACTGTTTATACATAATTAAAATATTTTTAATACAAATTATGTAAATATACTCAAAAATTCAAAAACTGAAACAATTCTTGCATATATTTACATAATTTGTATTTAAAATATTATTATACCTGATATGATAACTTTAAACTTAATAATTATCTTTTTCTTCATTTGTAAAATAAAAGTTTGGGGGAAAATTAAACAAAAATGTAAATTTTTCACATTTTTGTGTAAAATTATAATTTTTCATTATTTAATAACAAAAGTAAAGAAAATTAAATAACAACAAAATTATTGTTATTCAATTTTCTTACATAGAATTGAAAAGACGAATTTTTACATTCTTTATTAAATACTATTTATTTATTTATTACACAAAATTATTTTAGTTTTTCTTTTAAAACTGAGGAACTTAAAATTTTATGAAACAGATTAGTATTAATGTATCTATATAAACAGGTAAGATGAAGTTAGTTTAATAAATATTTATAGATTTAGGGGAACAATTATTTTTCTTAGCTCATAACGTGAACTTATGAATAAATTGTGCGTTTTATAGTGACGTTAAAATATTTTGCCGTTTTTCTTAAAATACTGAAATGCGATTGTGGCGAAGTAAGTTGCACTTTGTGTTTGACAGTTTATTAAATAACGTGGTTTGTTAATTACAATGTAATCAACATTAATAATAAATAAAAAAATAAATAACATTTTTTATGAAGGTTTTGTAAGATTACTTATAGGTATTTAGTTGTAAAATAGTTAATTCACTATTCAAATATCTATACAATTATAATAAACTATATATATTGTATTTAAATATAATTATGTATAAAAATAATGTACAGCATTCAAAGTTGTGACTGTTATGGATGGCCATGATACTGCTCATGTTTATAGGCGACGGTTATCACTTTCCATCAGGTGGGCTGTCAGTTTGTCATTCTAAGTTGCATAAAAAAAGTAATAAAGGTTGACTGAGAGAGAATGCTTTAACACTAATTTTATACTTATATTGTATACTTACAAAAAATTTATTTAATTAATATTTAAATCAATTATTTTCAATTTTTTTGTTAATAGTTCACCTTTTTTAAAAAGGCGGTTTGACGTGTTTTAAAGATGCAACTTAATTCGTAATCACAATGTTATATTAAAATTAAATAGAATAGACAATTTTACCAAGAAAATGTTTGCTTAAAATGATTACATTATGATTTTATTCACAAATTAATCATAAATTTGCATTGATTATTAAATTTTTTCATCAAAATTACAAATAAAAAGATAAATTTACCATTTTAATATGCTCAAAAATTTAAAATATAATAATTTAATTAAATTAATCATCTATTTATCGGTTTATTATTATTATTAATATTATATGGAAATAATATAATCGTTTTAAGCGTTTTGTCGAATAAAAGTCCATTATAGACGGTTGCCTTTATTAGCTTATGCCAGCCACTTATTTAATCTTTTATAACGTTTTATTATCATTATATTTTATTTATTTTTTATTAAAAGAAAAAAAATAATAGTGGCTAGAGAACAGGTAAGAATTATATTTCAATTTATAAAATGTAAAAGAATATTTATTGAACTTATAATTTTGTTTTTAAATTTAATTTATTCATTTTAAAATTTATTATATTCTTGATATAGAAAAGAAATAATATCGAATATTTGAAACAAATAAACGACCATAATATTAGCTATACTTAGTTATGAATTTTATAACATTAAAAATGAAGTATTATAATATGTTAATACACATCTATTTAGAAGGCCTAAACCCCTGCAATGTAATTAAAAGTATTATTTGTTAGATTATTAATCATTATTAATTTGCGTCTAGAAATATAATAGTTTGAAAGATTATAAAACCAATAATGGATTATTAAATTTAAATAATAGACAAATAATAGGTTGTGAATTTATACATTTTCTAGATTTTTTATAATAACGATATGAATATGTATTAAAAATTAAAAAAAAAAATATAGAGAAAGCTTCGTATTTATATGGTAAGTTCCCTAAAAATCAACTTGCTTGCATATTAATCTAACACATAATGTAAAATTAGATAATAAACGAATATATTTACAATTTAATACATTCTTTTTTAACTGTAATTTATATTATTCTTGTATTTAAATCGTCTAAATTAAATTTTAATTTTTACATAATATATTAATTATCAACTTTTTGAAATAAAAACAATTATGTCAGTGTTGTTATGATTAAGGTAAAGAACTTTTTTTATTTTATTACATTTTTCTTTTAATAAATTAATTTTTAAACTTTTAAATTAAATTGGATCAATTTGTATTTTTACTTTTTGTATTAAACTAAGCGTGTAAAAAATTCAACTTTTGTGTGTAATGTGTAAAAATGTTATAGACGATATGGCTTAGCCTTTTAGCTTACGTGATGTGGTAGCGGAGTGTGCCTGTTCTAGCTTCTATTCCGTGTAGATTTTTAGATAGTCGAGTTATTATCTACCTATCATTAACTGCCACACATATGAAATAAATATAGATATTTGAGGGATTATATTACTTATGTATAGATTGTCCACGTTAACATGGCACGCCCCTCCAAATTTTTAATTCAATGTATATGACCATATACAAATATTGATGTTCTGTTTGTGTTTGAAAGAAAACATCTTCAATAGCGGTCCAGCCAAAGAAGTAATTATAATTCTTGGTCGAATAATTGTAAATATTTTTACTTACACATGTTTTAATTTTTCAAATGAGCGTGCCATGTTTCCTATGTACATTACTTTTTAAAACAAGAACAGAATCTGCAAACAGTCGGAATATTTTTTCTTCAATATTATACATATATAGACAAGTTATAAATTTACTCATTTCTATATCACAAATTAATTCTAATAAATGATAATAATATTGACAGATCGATTTATTATCTGTTTTTATATAGCTATATAATAATATATAACCACATAATAGCCAATTGTTGCCACGGTTGGCAGACGGGTTGGCAACCGCAGTTAAGCTTTGATGATGTTTTAAGAGAAAAATTACTGCCCATTCCTCGATCCCTTATCGAAGATGTGGCCCATTCTATACCGGAACGGTAAGGAAAATAATTTAATACTTTCTTTACAAATCTTTTTTTTTTTTTTTATTAACCAAAATGTGTGTATTGTAACAAAATCCAATCATTCGATACTTTAGTTCCTTCATTAGAAATAATACATCGCCGTCGGCTGTTTGCAGTTATGTCCTTGACCTTTCTGTTTTTTTTTTTTTTGTGCGACTCGTTATTAATTTCTGTAATTAACGTGTAGCCATTAAGATAGAAAGGCTTTAACTAGCTTAGTGTTTCCATAAAAGACTTTAGATTGTACAAAAAATATTTCAAAATAAACATCTCTATAATTATATGTATAAATACAATTATATATTACAACATATCTAATTATTTATTAGACTGTAGAAAAAATCTTTTATTTTGTATTAGATTATATTAAGAGTTTGCATTCGTGATTCGTCACATTTTATTTAAACAATTTTACTTCTCATTTAAAAATGTAAACATGTACGAAAATGGCAAGCAATTAGCACGATAAAAAAAATTATGTACCTTTAATTTGTTTAAGAAATTAAATTGTACTTTTAAAATAAATAAATTGTTAATGTGAATGACAATATCCCATGTGACGTCACTTGGCAGTAAAAATATTAACTATTTATAAAAAAAAAAGTAATATTTAAACGGCTTTTGAATATAGAATACAATAATTATAAACTTTCCAAGTAAACAAAAAATGAGAAAAATTAGAAAAATAAATTAAAATTAATTAATTAAAATAAAATAAATTGTTGAATAGATTTATTCATTTATAATAAATAAATAAAATAACTATAAAAATGCTCATTCTAAGATATAGACAAATGTTAACATTCTGTCAAGTGATGTTTACAGATTATAAAATTGACAATAACAGTGTGCAAAATAAATTATAATCTATGTAGATTTTAGTAAATATACCTTGATCGTAAGATTTACCTAATGCGAATAGGTAGGGTACCTACTTCTTGTGTTTCGTGTAAGCGCTGAAAAATGCCTGAATAAAGTAATTCTTAGATTCGTTTGATATCAAACAGTGTTTCATTTTTCTGTCAACCAACATAGGTGGTTTTTTTATGATATCCCAGAATCAGCTATGCTTTTATTTTAGCAAACAGCCTAGACATTAGCCTTGCCGCAGCGATGAAATATTAAAAAGGTATTTACTAATTCCTAACCTAAGAACAAGGAATTACATAGAAGGAATGATAAAATGAAAACTGTAAACCATATTCCGCATGAAGAATAATAAGAGAAGCAGTTTCTTTAGACAGGGGGAAAGGGATTGTTTGTAATGGAGACTGAGAATCCCATTGCTAGCAATATAGCCAACCAGGTCGACCTTCTCGCGGTTCTCCCTGGAAACTATCATGGTTAATTCCTGATGAATTCATGATGATGGGCTAACTGGCCTGTTTTCATTCTCATCTGTCACCCTTCACTGGTGCTCCGCCAGCGTATCCCGTTAGCGCAGGCGGGGTTACCATGCCATTTTCACCCATCAAAAAAAAAATAGTTTCTTTAGACATGAACAGCACCAATAATATTACAAAATATACTGTAACTGCCCATGATAACATTACTAGGTTGCCATTCTTAACGGCTAAGATGTGAAGTCTCTGTATTCTATAAATTCCCATACTTCAAATCGAATCATTTTTAGTATGGATGTATCAAAGAAGTAAAATGGCAGTCTTAATTTGTACATGAACGCCATCTAGTAGCGCTATGAAAAATCAAACTTCATGCATAATGTCAGAATAGCGACATCTATTAACTTTACGAGAAATCAAAATGCAAATATGTTTTGTTTTTGCTAATTTAAATTATTGCTGCAGTTTAAAAATATCATATGAATCCCTTCTAGATGGCGTCACGTGAATAAAATACTTTAAACCTTATTTTGAACTAATGATAAACATTTTAGTTTTTATCACCAGTATTATGAGAGTAAATTTTTAAATTTAGCTATCAATAAACGAAATAATGATAATTTATGACGAGATAAACTTGTAAAGAGTTTATAACTTATATACACTTGTAAACAACTAAATAAACTTGTAAATAAATTTGTAAACACTTTTTCTTAATATTATAAGGATTGTTCGAGACTTTGTTCATCACGAAAATTAACTTAACTTATACAGTTTTTTTTTTTACAATTTATTAAATATTAACACTTACAATTAATTATAAATAGTCTCCCAAGCCACCATATTGAGGCAGCGTACTTAAGACACTGGTAGCATTACACCAAACTTATCTTTCGCGCAAAGTAGCTACCAGCTCTTGGGTCGTCAGTAACCTCGATGAGGTGCGCTGCGACATTTTAAATAAATAGTAAATAATATTTTTAATTATGATTAATTATGACAAGAGGTTTTTTATATAAAATATCAAAATAGATTATAAATACTAAATACAAATTAGGTGGAATTTAAAAAAAAAAAACTTATTTGATCGTCGACAATGTCAATGTATTAAAATAAAGCAAAAATAATAGATATGTTCAAAAGTAAAAATTAAAAGCAACGGTTAAAATATAAGAACACTGGGAAGATATAAGACAAACAATTTAAGAGATTTTTAAACATAATACGCAGAGAGATCACAGCTTAATCTTAGCTGTCCGCGAACCTCTAAACGTCTTTATAGCATCCAAAACGTCCTCAGAGAAAACTTGCGGCAGTTCTAAGGCGAGGAAGTGACCGCCATAGGGGATCGCTGTCACATTTACCAAATTATGGTATTTCACTCGTAAAGCGTTCGGAGGCTCGTAAATAAGCTCGTGTTCCGCTTGAATCACCCAAGTGGGCACAGTGGTTGGTGTTCTGAAAAATTCAACAATTTCATATGAAAGGCTGAAGAAGTATGCTCAGATTTTCAGCTATTCTTTTTAAGACAAATTGTTCAGTTTCATTAGCCTGATTTTCAGCTAATGCCAATTTTGTAAATCCACTATCGGCGCTTGATGCGATGAAACATTTTTTGCAAATAAATTGTAGTTACATATCTGCTTCTTTACAGTCGGCAACGTTTTAACGTGGATTGAACCACGGCATGTTTCATTCACTTATTTATTTATAGCAAAGCGATAGATTAGAAATTAAAACATTAGTAAAATAAATATTATAATAAATAAAACGGCCTACCTGATGGAAAGTGGTAACCGTCGCCTATAGACATGAACAGTACCACAGACATAACAGAGTATACTGTTTCACCCATGATACCCCCCATGCGTTGCCATTCCAGAGGATTCAGGTGTTATTTCTCTGTACCCTGTAAATTCACTGCCATATCCCACCCTTCAAACCGAAACACAGCCATGCAAATAGAACTGTTTAAAGATAAAAACATTAATGGAACAGAGGTACCTAAGCAAACGACTTTTATACAAAGTTTCCTTCTGGTATCCATCACTTCCAGTATTAGTCCATCATGCATGGGCATTCGAATGACTATGTTATTTTAGACATAGTACATAAATATATATAATAGAATGCTCTGTTAACACCATAAATTTATTCAAAAAACTAACTGTAAGATAACATTCCGAACCCAATAGTAGAAACATAAAAGTTGACGATTTAAAAGAGCTTATAAACAAGTCTATTCGAATAAGGAATGACTTGATTTTAAATTTTTTCGAATTTCCTTTCTTTTTTTTTTATTTATTTAAGGCAAACATACAGCTTTAATAACACATATGGTAATTACACAATTAAATAATTCATCAGTAAATAAAATTTTAATAACAATACCGTCGATTACTATCGGCACGGCCGGTTCGCACCTGTACTGCTCAGTTTGCTCCCATTTATCATTTATTTCTCTGCTCAATTCTTTGATTGCTCAGCAGCCAGATATTGTTATTGTCAATAACAAATTAGATAGATTTTCTAAATAAAGTTTAAAATTTTTAAGTTTCTAAAATGTATCTATGGCTCACTATACGTTTTGGAAAACTGTAAGTGTAGTGATTAATTTATAAATAAATAGGGGGGTAAAGAGGTTTCTTCAGGGTCGGCAACGCGCGCGTAACACCTCTGGTATTGCAGGCGTTTATAGGCTACGGTAACCGCTTACCATCAGGTGGGCCATATGCTTGTTTGCCACCTCAGTGGTATAAAAAAAATAAACAAATACAAGTGAAGGTTGTATGTTTCCTTATTAAGAAACAATACTATTGAAAATTACAGCAAACATATCAAATTCTGAAAAACCAAGTCATCATGAAATTAATTAACTGTTTTGAAAGAAATATAAGTACTAGGATTACAATTAAATAAGTCAATATGGCAATAATGATTGTTGTGTGTGTCACAGTCTCTTTTTTCTGTCTTTCTCCCTTTCTCTTCTTTGCCCTTCTTTATATTTTTTCAATTTTATTCAATTAGTTATTATTTTTCTTAATAAAAAAAAAATTGACTTTCAAGGAAGAAAACGATCAACATAATACACTTAAAGTTCTTGTCTACATTGAGAACAACTTTTTTTAAATAAAAATAACTGTATGGAACAGCAATGTGTAGGAATGTTATTTAGGTGTAATGTCTTAAGGTGGTTGAACCGGGGTCATTTTCATACAAAACATTTTTGTAATACACGCTGTAAGTATTACAGTACTTTATTAACAACCAATGCCATTAATTCTTATTTTAGGAACAACTACTCAGAATGGGCACCATGAGCGGGATAATACATTATGTGATATATATGGTATAGTTTGTCTCTATTATGGAAGGTAATCACCTTCCATTAGGCATCCACTTGTTAAAATAAGAAGCCAAATTCTTACTCGTAAGTTCTGAATGCCAACTCTTTTTTGGACGTTGTCTCCGCATACAATCTCATCGATGTAGTTATGCAATTGCTTGTCCAGTATATCATGAGTATATCGATAAGCTCATCCCTAGTATATTTTCTTGTAAGTCCCCCGTCTTTTAACTGTCTATATTCCTTATTAGTTGACGTAGAATACTTTTCTAGGATATACGCTAGAAGACCAGAAGGAGAATCAGTGAGACCCACACCTGAAATAAAGCAATACCCTGTGGAATTAAACTCATATTGGTTGCAGTAATAAACACTCGTGTTTCCACTCATTATGAGTATGCTATTATCAGAAAAAGTTCTAGCAAAAAAGCTCCACAGTTCTTAGAAATAGAAACAGACCTTCAAAAATAGACAACTGTCGCCGCGCTAGTACAAGGCTTCCTTTTATATTTTTATGTTACATTTTTTCTAAACAATTATGTGGCATATAGAACAAAATATAAATGATAATACTAAGACACCGCAAAAACATAGAAAATCTTTGGTAGGTCGTTTTCACCGCTTTATACTTAGGGCTTTCCTTAATCTCTAATCCCCGTAAATCAGGCATTTCGATCAGTGTTGTACTATATTGTATCTCTAACCAGGAGTATTCTCTTGACAGTGACTTAAACATCATCTAGACTACTTAATATTTGCTCGTTCAGGAGCAACTATTACGTTTAGTTCTTTACTTTTTTTTTATAACACAGGGGGCAAACGAGCATGCGGGTCACCTGATTGCTAAGTGACCGCCGCCCATGATCACCCACAATACCGAAAACACTGCAGGTGTAATGCCGGCCTTTTAAAAAGGAATACGCTCTTTTCTTGAAGGTTATGATGTTATATCGGGTCGGAAATACTGCTGCTGGAAGTTAATTCCAATGAGTGGTTGTGATTTTGTCTAAATCGTACCGACAAAATGTGTCTGTGTATTGCTCGAGACCTTGACTATCGAAGGACTTATCACCTAGCAACTTATAAATTTATTTCTAAGAAGAGACAATGCATAAGCACATCACATCATGTTGTGATATCACTTTTCGTTAGCAAAAACTTCGTCATATTTTATCATTCCAAGCTCTATTAAGGAATACGAGATATCTATAACTCACCTACGGTATCTGGTTTCGTAGCTTGAATAAGGAAGTATCCAGATTCTTCTAATAAAAACTCAATAGTCTTTGTCAGAGGATACAAACGATGAACAAGTTTCGGGTCCATAAAGAGATAAGGATTCACTGCCATACCGGCTATAAGTATAAGAGCTTTTGGGTCTAGGACTATACCAAAGTTAGTGTGATATCCTAGCACTTCCTGCAAACAGATATTTAATAATACATTAAACATGTGCTTTTCATTCATGGATTTTTTTTTCTCTCTTCTCATTCCTTTGCATTCATGTTTCTGCAGTGAAACAGCAGTGTTTGGTGTTTGGTGTGTGGTGTGGGTTTCAAGGATGAAATAAAGTAGTTAAATTATAGGATACGAAGGAAAAACATCAAAACATTCTCAGAAATCGGCAACAGTAGAAGCGTCACAGTTTTCTCTCTAATATCTATGATGCTGTTCATGTCTATAAATGGCGATTGCCACTTTCCATCAGATGGACTGTCTGTTTGCTTGCCATTTTGAGTTCTATACTCTGTTATGTCCATGGTACTGCTCGTCTCTATAGGCGACGAGAATGTAGATACCTTCGGAAATATTGTAGCCATAATGCTACCAATTATGCTACCGGCATCTCCACCTTGGATGTAAAACTGTTGATGCCCAAGTCTGTGCATGAAGTTCCTCAGTACAACTCCTATTTCAACTGGTCCAAGTCCTGGACGAACTGCTGACTGTAATATGAAAGATTAAAGGTTAGATATAACTAACTTATTTGGTGATATAGGTCATATAAATGTATTTAAAACATATTTTACCTTGTTGACTCATAAATCAAGAACGCGAAAGTTTAAAATTAAACACTTGTCTTAAAATAGTTTTTTTTTTTTTTTTTATACAACTTAGAATGGTAAACAAGCTGACAGCCCACCTGATGTAAAGTGGTAACCGTCGCCTATAGACATGAGCAGTACCATGGACATACATAGAGTATACTGTTCTGCCCATGATATCCCCCATGCGTTGCCATTCCTAAGGACTCAGGTGTTATTCCTCTGTACCCAGTAAATTCACGCCATATCCCACCCTTCAAACCGAAACACAGCCATGCTAACACAACCGCTTCACGGTTGAAACACGAATGGGACAGAGGTGCCCAAGCAAACGACTTTTGTACAAAATCTCCCTCTGGTAAAAAGTTGTTTACATAATTAGTTATTCGATTTAGTTCATATAAACGCATTAATAATTTGCAATCTCATTAGCGTTAATTGTATGTTACATTTGTACCCACGTCAATGGTTAATATAATATTGTTCTATATTTAAGTATTTTATTTACACGTAACATTCATGACTTGTATTTATACAACTGCTGTTAATTCTTTGATGTTTAACGTAATAATTCTATTAATTTTATAATTAGAATTTGTTATTTGATAATACCAATATCTTACCAGAGGGAGACTTTGTACAAAAGTCGTTTGCTTGGGCACCTCTGTCCCATTCGTGTTTCAACCGCAAAGCAGTTGTGTTTGCATGGCTGTGTTTCGATTTGAAGGGTGGGATATGGCGTGAATTTACTGGGTACAGAGGAATAACACCTGAGTCCTCAGGAATGGCAACGCATGGGGGGTATCATGGGCGAAACAATATACTTTGTTATGTTCATAGTACTGCTCATGTCTATAGGCGACGGTTACCACTTTCCATCAGGTGGGCCGTTAGCTTGTTAGCCATTCTATGTTGTATAAAAAAAATCATATTAACTTGGCAAGTCTTCAAAACAAGACAACTAAACAACGTTCTTCAAAAATTAAGGGGATTTTATTTTATGAATAATAATGGAATGGTAACCCCGGCTGCGCTATCGGTATACGCTGGCGGGGCACCAGTAAAAGATGATAGGTGAGAGTGAAATGACAGGTCAATTAGCCCATCGTGACAAATTTCACAAGAATTAACCACGATGGTTTCCAGGGGGAACTACGTGGAGGTCAACCTAATAGGATATATGTTAGTAATGGGGCTGTTAGATCCCATTATTAACAATCCCTTCCCCCCTCTAAAACTTGAAGAATTAAAGAATTTATTTAAAAACAATAAATATACTACTCACGTCAGAGTACCCGAAACCTGGTAAACTGGGAATAATCAGTTCCAGCACGAAGTCTCTCCCATCACTCAGGGTTGTGAGGAAAGGCACCGCTCGATAAAATTCAAGTATGGACGACGGCCACCCATGCAGAAGCAGCAGTGGTACCACTTTCTTATTGTGGTATACTGATTCCTAAAAGAACACGTAAGTTAATTTTTTTTTAATGGATGATAATGGAATGGTGACCCCGCCTGCACTAATGTGCTGGTGCCCCACCAGTGAGGAATGATAGGTAAAAATGAGAATGCAAGTTAGTAACATTGTCATGAATATAAATGAAATTCAGTACGATGAGTTCCAGGAGGGGTCACGGGGAGTTCAATAGAAAGTCGATTGCTTGGGTACCTCTGTGATGTCTTTGGTTCTGTTCAAGTCTATCACCATCATCATATCAGCCATTAACTGTCCAGTGCTGAACATAGGCCTCCCGCTATTAAAGGGTTTTGCCAGTAATTGCTAAACTTGGCAAGCGGGTTAGCAGTCACAGTTAGTTTATTATGATATTTTAAGAAGGACGCTACTGCCAATCCCTCGATCATTAAGTTCTCTTAGTCAACTCTTACGACACTCACGGGAAAGGAAGGGGTGGCCAACTTGATGTCGGAACCACACGGCGAAGTTTAAGTCTATAAGCGACAGATTCTATTCTGCATCAAGCGAATTTTCAACTAATATGGTATATCAAGTAATTTATACCACATACCTCAGGCTTGACCCAAACAAAGTGTATATCTAATCCCTGGATATTTGTCTTGAATTGTGGATACTTATTGATGTAGTTCTCACGCTCGGCAAACGGATAGTCCTGTGCCCAGTACTGTACCCAAGATTCCAGGGTATCAGTATTGAATCCATATTGAAAGCCGATGCCTTCTAGAGGTGGAGTGAAGGGGCGGTGGTGTGTCAGTCGAGTCCTGAGATCTTTTATCATCTGAAATTAATAATGTAGGTAAATATAAATTATTTTATAATTATATAGCGACGGAATAAATAAATAAATAAATAAAAATATATTTTATTCAAGTAAACTTAATAATAAGCATTTTTGAATAGTTTTTTTTTTATTAATTTACTATCCATTTCGGAATGCATTTTGAGTTGAGAAGTATGGACAAGAAACACAGCTGTTGTTTTTTTTTTCTTTTTTTTTACAACACAGGGGGCAAACGAGCATGCGGCTCACCTGGTGGTGAGTGACTACCGCCGCCCATGATCACCCACAACACTAACGGCATTGCAGATGTGCTGCCGGCCTTTTAAAAAGGAATATACTCTTTTCTTAAAGGTTATGTTGTCGTATCGATTCGGAAATACTGCTGCTGGAAGTTGATTCCAAAGAGTGGTTGTGCGTGGAAGAAAGTGCCTTGAAAAACGCACGGTGGAGGACCGCCACTCATCCAGATGGTTGGGATGAAATTTTACTTTATGGCGGTTTGTACGATGGTGAAAATCAGCAGCAGGTATCAATCCGCATATTTTCAAATAAGAGTTAAGTGTACAACAAAAAAAATGACTGGATGAAATGAGCATCACCAACTTCGTATTGATAAAAGAAAGAATGAAATAAGAAAGGGTATGTTACTAAACATTTTTTATATTAACAATTTTGGACTTATCATGACACAATTAATGGTAAATGGTATCTACAAATCTACCAGAGGGAGACTTTGTACAAAAGTCGTTTGCTTGGGCATCTCTGTTCCATTCGTGTTTCTACCATGAAACAGTTGTATTTGCATTGCTGTTTTTCGGTTTGAACGATGGGATATGGCGTGAATGTACTGGGTACAGAGGAATAGCACCTGAGTCCTCAGGAATAGCAACGCATGGAGGGTATAACGGGCGAAACAGTATACTCTGTTATGTCCATAGTATTGCTCATATCTATAGGCGACGGTTACCACTTTCCATCAGGTGGGCCGTCAGCTTGTTTGCCATTCTAAGTTGCATAAAAAATACAGTAATTTTATAATTGTTACTTACTGATTCGTTAAAGTGGACTCTAAAGGGTCTAATGCTGGTGTCTTGTGTGGTGTTTTCTTCTGGACCCCACCATTCGTGATAATCTAATTTTGGTGGAGGAGGAATTATTGAAGGCCAAATGGAATCGACAGGATACAAAATGATGACGGAGACAGTCACAAATAGCAGTGGACACATCTGTAAACGAAACATACAACGGGCATTTATTTTAATAAGAAAGAAAACTAAAAAAAAAATAAAACATTTGCAGAACTAGTTCTATTAAATTCAAAACTAAACTGCTGAACCGATTTTGATAAAATTCCTGTGGAATCAATATGTAAGTATGTCCTTATAGATAAAAAAAAAAAGAATTTTTCAAATCGACTTATAATTAACGGAGTTATGACGTAACGAAGATAGGAAAAAAAATCCAACCGAATTGAAAACCCCATTCTTTTTTAAGTCGGTAGAAAAGAAAGAGAGAAAATATTTTAATATACACTCTACGTTAAAATATTTTCACTTTTTCTCTTATATTTATCTTTGTAAATCTCACACTAGAATAAATTTAATTTAATAATATTATAATTGCTTTAAGACTAGTAATAGAAAAAGAAAATAAGTAAAATAAAAAAAAAAAAAAACCTTCACAATTACGAGTAGTAAGCCGGTGTTTTTAATACATTAACACATCAATACTAAACAGTTTAGAGACTGGCAAATAAATGAAGCATATTAGACTATGTTGAAATAAAGTAATTTCATTCGGCATTGAGACATCCATTTTTAGGGTTGTCAGGTACACTAAAACGGGAGCGATTTTTTAAATTAATATTTTTCAAAAATTAATATGTAATGATTATTTGTATTTATTTATTTAAATAATAATTATTTATTGACAAATATTAAAGTTTGTAACAATAGACAGCAGCGTCCCTCTTAAAATATCTCTAAAGACTGATTGCGGTTGCCAATCCGCCTGCCGAACGTGGCAACTACGGGAAAAATCCCCCAAGGGGGAGGCTTATGTTCAGCAGTGGACAGTAAACGCATCCACTACCTACCTATCAGGTCGTCACACCATCTAGTGGTGGGGGTCGTCCTACACTGCGTTTGCCCGTACGCGGTCGCCACTCAAGAACCTTTCTTACCCATCGGTTGTCAGTGTGTATATATGTGTGTGTGTTATTTGTTTATATATAACTTAGAATGGCAAACAAGCTGACGGCCCACCTGATGGAAAGTGGTAACCGTAACCTATAGACATGAGCAGTACCATGGACATAACAGAGTATACTGTTTCGCCCATGATACCCCCTTCCGGTATTATTATTATCTTTTATGTGCAAGTCAGTATAATTCAAACTGTGACACAGCAAACTGTTCAAACTGAACACTACATTTACAATGTACATTTATGGCATTATTAATTATTTCTTATCTAAATACCTAAATACTTTTACCTTTTTTCCTATATAAAATGGATATTTTTTTCTTTTTTCAATAATAAGTATAGATAAATTTGAGTATTTTATTTTTTGTTTTAATGGATGATAATGGGATGGCAACCCTACCCACGCTAACGGTGGTACATTGGCGGGGCACCAGTGACGGATAACAGGGGAAAATGAGAAGGCAGGTTAGTTGGCACATCGTGATAAATACACCTGGAATTCAGCATAATGGTTTCCAGGGGGGACCACGTGGAGGTCGACTTGACAGGGTATATTATTATGGGACTGGTAGTCCATATTACTATTAATATTAATAATGCGTTCTAAGAACAAGAATGTCAAATCTGATTTTTTTATAGAAGTCTACGCGGACGAAGCCGCAGAATTAAGCTACTATATGATATATTTTTTAATATGTCTATGAAAAAATATCGAAAAAATAATGTATCATATATATTTATTTATTTAACTCTTTATTACACCATCAAAAAAAAATATACAATGACAAGTGAATAATTTAAGTGAAATACAGTAACATAAATACAGATTGAAATATATACATAAAGGTACAAAAGGCGGTCTTATCGCTAGGGCGGTCTCTTACAGACAACCTTTGGTTAAAGGAGAACAGATAGAAGTGGGTAGGTGGCGCAAGAGTGAATTAATAATTTTTCGTGCATAAAATATGTAAAAAAAAATATAATAATTTACCATATATATATATATATATATATATGGTAAATTATTATCTCGATATTTTTGTATGGAGTGGAGTCATGGACAATAAAAGCAAAGGAACGGAAAAAGATTGATGCTCTCGAGATGTGGTGCTGGCGAAGGATGCTGCGAATTCACTGGACAGCAAAGCGCACGAATATATCTATCCTGACGCAACTCCGCATAAAAGATAGGCTCTCGACAGTCTGCTATCGAAGGATTCTCGGATACTTCGGTCATATTGCTCGACGACAGTCTGATCCAATCTGGACAAGCTAATGATTGTAGGCAAGATAGAGGGAAAAAGACGACGTGGATGACCACCTAGTTTTTTTTTAATGGGTGATAATGGTACGGTAACCCCGTCTGCGCTATTGATATACAATGGCGGGGCACCAGTGAGAGATGACTAATGAGGATGAAAGCAGGTCAGTTAGCCCATCCTGACGAATTCAACTAGAATTAGCCACGATGGTTTCCAGGGGGAACCACGTGGAGGTCGACCTGACAGGGTATATTGCTAGTAATGGGGCTATTTGACCCCATTATTAACAATCCATTTCCTCCCCGATCACCTAGTTGATAATCGGACCAAGTCCGATCATCAACTCCCGTCATGGGACTATCAACTACAACTGCCCTACGAGAGGCTGAAGACCGTGCCAAATGGAGTAAATATATAAGAGAGGCAACAGACACCTTTCAAGGACACGACCTTCATTAATGAAGTGGACGAAGAGAGAAAGAGAGAGAGATGATATATTTATAAAAAAATAAATCCAAGTACTGCACCTGCTTAAATATTTAACTACGTTACTTGAAGCAATGACGAAGTGAGTTTAGAAAAACAACTTGTTTTTATCACCAGATGAAGAGAGGCATTAATTGCCTCGATACAAATAATTTGTCAGTAGTTACCATGCTTGGCAGGCAGGTTGGCAAGTGTAATAAGTACCAGAGGGAGACTGTACAAAAGTCGATTGCTTGGGTACCTCCGTCCCATTCGTGTTTCAACCGTGAAGCAGTTGTGTTTACAAAAGCAAAAAAAATATCCTGATCATTGAACAACCCCCAGTGTCACGAAGGCAAAGTCGCGAGTAAAAGCTAGTTTATAATAATAGCAGTATTAATTTCATTTATTATCAATTAAAGCGAAATATAAACACTTATGAGGGTTCAAAGCTACAAGGGTTGGTTTCCCAGGGGATTATCTCACCCCGGGGGTGAGAAAGTCAAGTGTTAAGAGAGGGTAAGCAGACAAATAACGGCACGTGGCTGGCTGGTGCGATAAAATATAAAATGGATGAATGAATTTCGATTGATTTTTACTAAATTTGCTCAAGTTTTGAAATAAACATGCTGCCAAGGTTTTCCCTAAAGATTACAGTATGCGGTTATACATATATAGCAATATCTATATATCTACTGATCCAATAACGATTATGTTAAAAGTCTGTTATCTAAAAAATAATATTGGATAACAGACTTTCAACATATTAGTAAATAGATATCCGACCGATATGGGTGATATCGAAATGGGTGATGACCTTTTCTCCGCCGTCTGTGTCAATGTCCTGAGGAACTCAATATATATCAGTTCGATATCCAATATATAAAAGGTTAAACTTATAATTACCAGGGGGACACTTTGTACAAAAGTCGATTGTATCTGTAATAATCAGAGGGAGCTTTGTACAAATGTCGTTTGCTTGGGCACCTCTGTCCCATTCGCGTTTCTACTGTGAAGCAGTTGTGTTTGCATGGCTGTGTTTCGGTTTGAAGGGTGGGATATGGCGTGAATTTACAGGCTACAGAGGAATAAGATCTGAGTCCTCAGGAATGGCTACGCATGGGGGGTATCATGGGCGTAACAGTATACTCTGTTATGTCCATGGTACTGTTCATGTCTATAGGCGACGGTTACCACTTTCCATCAGGTGGGCCGTCAGCTTGTTTGCCATTCTAAGTTGTATATATATATATATATATATATATATATATATATATATATATATATATATATATATATATAGATAGATAGATAGATAATCTTTATTACCAGTAATAATGTTAAAAAAATAAACAATAAAAAGAGAAAAAAAAAATTCATTTTGCTGGTAATAGGCTTATATATATATCGCCAATGTCTAGTTGTCGTGTCTATAGGCGACGGTCTTCACTTCTCATCATGGGACCGTAAATGCCATAAAAAAAAATAAGCTAAATACCTACTTGTTTCACAAAGTTCCGCTTGCAAACTCCACAATACTTGTTATCTGATATTTTCACGGCTTCGGAAGAAAAAAGCTTTAATTAAATGCGCTCAATAATTAATTAAAGTTTGAGCACCGTGGATGTTTAGATTATGAACTTTGAAATGCAATGTACAGTTTTTTTTTTGAGGAAAAAAGTTTTTAATAGCGAGTCGAAAGGGATTTGTTAAATTAATACAGCTAATCTGTATATTTGTTGAAATTATAAAAATGTATCTGTAATAATCAGAGGGAGCTTTGTACAAATGTCGTTTGCTTGGGCACCTCTGTCCCATCCGTGTTTCTACCGTGAAGCAGTTCTGTTTGCATGGCTGTGTTTCGGTTTGAAGGGTGGGATATGGCATGAATTTACAGGGTATAGAGGAATAACACCTAACTCCTCAGGAACGGTAACGCATGGGAGGTATCATGGGCGTAACAGTATACTCTGTTATGTCCATGGTACCTGCTCATGTCTATAGGCGACGGTTACCACTTTCCATCAGGTGGGCCGTCAACTTGTTTGCCATTCTAAAAAGTTAAATTGTAAAAGCTAGTATATTTACGTGTAAAATTAAATCACAATCCTAGAAGGGGGAAAGGGATTATTAGTAATAGGACTATACTCTATCCGGTCGACTTCCACGCAGATCTCCCTACAAAGCAACCGTAATCAATCAATTGTTGAATCCATCACGACGGCCCAAATTACCTGCTATAATCGTCACCTATCATCACTAACTGGTGCCCTGCCAGTGTATACCAATAGCGCAGGCAAGGCTACTAGTTAATTTCCAACCATAAAAAAAATCTATTGGGCCATATACATCTAATATAAATTATACAAACGCCAATAAATGTATGTATATCAATAATTACTAGTACCGCATTCGAGTATTCTGACACTTCCCTATGGTTCACTGGGAGAGAATGCTTTTAGCATCAAGTCCGCCATATACACATATTTGTACTAATGAATAAATAAATAAATAAATAAATAAACGTTTAACGTTGACATTACACCACCCCAAATGGAGGGAGGCGCGTGCGGTCCGCTGATAAGGTAGGGGTGGAGTTGGCGTTGTTATTACACTAGCGGCCCGCCCCGGATACGCACGGGTAGATAGGTAGACGACCTCTAATCTTTTTTATACAGCCCATGTTTTTTTTACTAACAATTTCGTTTTCTACTAGTGAAATAATTTTCAAAATTGGCCAGTTCTAAGTTTCCCCATTACAAACAAAAAATAATGTTATTTAGAAGGAATTTATATTAATAACTAGTATGTATAGATTTTAAACACACAACCGAGATTTAAAATTAACTAGTACACAGTTTTATTAGTTTTTTTTTCTTCTCAAAGGTTGACTGTAAGAGATCCCTCTATGTGATAAGTCCGCCATTGTATATTAAATCTTTTAATGTGTCCAATATAAATTATAGTATATAGTAGATACAACATAAAAAAAGTGGTTATTGTGACATAACGATAATAGTTGGACATATAGTATCGCGAAGTTTTTCGTAGTTATTGATATTTTCTTCAATATTGTAGAACATACTTTTGTTCTATCATCAATAGTTTCCGCAGCGCACGCGACGAAAGATATTTTATAGCATTTTTTTACACCTTGAGTTACGTTACTAAAATTTTGGTAAGGATCCCTAATCTTTTCTAGCAATAAATATAGCTTATGTTACTCAAGGTGAATGTAGCTTACTAATGGTGAAAGAATTTTTGAAATGGGTAAAATAGTTTTTGAGTTTATTCGTTACAAACATACGTACACACAAAAATACAAATCTTCTTTCTTTATAATATTGTTGTAGATAAAGATTTAACAATACATTTTTTAACACAGTGTATGACGACTTCCCACTAGTTGGAGTGACGACCTCAAATGTATTGCAGGGAGTTAGTCGATCAGATGGCTCAGAGTCGTTCTTTATAGCAGTTCATATGGGATGTCTATGTTCAGCAGTGGACAGATAGCGGCTGAGATGATGATGATGATGATGAACAACAATTTTTGGTCTTATAAAAAATAGCGACTTCAATTCAACAAGACAAAATTATATTTAAAATTTAGCGTTGTTTACGCATATTAGAAATAACACTATCGGGCTTAAGAAGAAAAAATATTTTTTTGCAAGTAAATAGTACCTACATACCTGTTTCTTTAGTGCCGACGTTCAACAAGTATATAGGAGGGGGGAAGGGATTGTTTGTAATGGAGACTGAGAATCCCATTGCAGCAAATCGACCTCCTCGCGGTCCTCCCTAAAAACCATCATGGTTAATTCCTGATGAATTCATCATGATGGGCTAACTATCCTGTTTTCATTCTCATCTATCACCCTTCACTGGTGCACCGCCAGCGTATCCCGTTAGCGCAGGCGGAGTTACCATACCATTTTCATCCATAAAAAAAAATAATATTGGGACTATTTAATTGCAAAAAAATACTTTGCACTAAGTCTCGATCGTGTATTTAAAATAAGTTTTGTCATTAAAATAATAAGATAAACAAATTGTATCTTACTTCAACAATAAACTGATAAAATAAAAATTAAATAACCTTAAAACATTTATAAAAAAAAAAATCTTTGTGGTCACTGCCAATTGCCATAAAATAAATAAACAACGACTTAAAAGAATTTATCGGAGTGACTTAACATTTACAAATTGCAAATCTGATCCCCCGTAATGGCTCCAGTCTCCCATAAAAAAATAATCCGCATCATAAATGTATGAGAGCGCAGCACGCGCCCTCTACTGGGGTGTGAACAATATGAGATTTGCGGCCTAATACGATAAGGTATTGTAAAATGTTCTAATATATATATTCTATAATAAAATCTAATATATATAAAATTCTCGTGTCGCGGTGTTTGTTATCAAACTCCTCCGAAACAGCTTCACCGATTTTTATGAAATTTTGTGTGCATATCGGGTAGGTCTGAGAATCGGCCAACATCTATTTTTCATACCCCTCATTGACAAAGGTGACCCACGGCAATTTTTTTTTAATTTTTTGACAATTTATTTTTATTTTATTATGACTTAGCATTGAAAAGTACATACAAATTCAAATTTTCACGTTTTTACGATCAACCCCTGTTTTTTTAATCGCGATTTTTATATGCCGCAATAGGGTTACAAGATGACAATCGAATATAATAATTGTAGTACGATAATTTTTTATGTATAGTTCTCGAAATAATGTATATGGCAAAACAACGTTTGCCGAGTCAGCTAGTAAATATATAATAATTCTGTATGAATGAATGAGTATACTTTATTTGCATTATACAATATAGGAAATAAACAAGACAATTTACAAACGCAACGATACAATTGTATAAGTACAGTAAGGCGGTCTTATTGCTGAGAGCAATCTTTTCAAGACAACCTTAAGGTAATGGACTAATTGTTGTACAAGTAGGTATGATAGTGCTTTATAATTAAAAAAAACATCTTTAGCAAATTAAAAATATATAAAAATTATATACATATATTCACACATATATACATACATATATATACATACACATACATATATACATATACATACATATATACACACACATATACATACATATATCTGTAATATATAAAGTAAATTTGGTTGATATACGAGAAAGGAATAGAAATGTGGCTTTACAATGGAGAACTTTATTATTTTTTATTTGTAATATTTGAAAAATTAACTTAATTGACTACATATTGTTATTATTATTTCTATACCACGAAGGTGGCAAACAAGCATACAGCCAGTCTGATGGTAAACTGTCACTGTAGCCTATGGACGCCTGCAACACACTATTAAAGATATTTGATCCAAAAAACATTTAATCCAACGCACAAATTTCATAAGCTTGATGTCTGTGGCATCGTAACTCCTAAGCGAATGCGGTTTTTTATATATTACATATAGAATAGATATTTTTTGTCTATTCCAGTAAGTAATTTGGACAATTTTTGAGTATTTGTCCCGATATAGAATGGGCCACCCCTTCCTTTCCCGTGGCCCGTGGACGTCGCAACTAAGGGAACTAAACGGTAAACTAATTAAACGATCCTAAACTAATTAATCGGTCGAGGGATGGGCAGCAGCGTAGCTCCTAAAATATCACCAAAGCCTAACTTACGATTGCCAACCCGCTTGCCAAGCGTAACCAGTATTGGCAAAACCCCCCTTACGGGAGAGGCCCATTTAGAGTCGGGCTAAATACCTTTATTATAACTTTGTATGTTAGCACACTAGATTTATAACATTGATTTGGCTATGGCTTTTTTTTTATACAACTTAGAATGGCAACAACAAGCTGACGGCTCACCTGATGTAAAGTGGTAACCGTCACCTAGAGACATGAGCAGTACCATGGACATAACAGAGTATAGTGTTTCGCTCATGATACCTCCCATGCGTTCCCATTCCTGAGGACTCAGGTGTTATTCCTCTGTACCCAGTAAATTCACGCCATATCCCACCCTTCAAACCGAAACACAGCCATGCAAACACTACTGCTTCACGGTTGAAACACGAACGGGACAGAGGTACCCAAGCAATTGACTTTCTTTTGAAGTTCTTTGATTTTGAGTGGATCACTGGTACGCGCCTCTTTATAATTCTGTCATTCATGTATGTGTATATGTTTAGTTTTGTACAAGTAGTTGCACACAGCCATTTTGTATATTTTGTTTTTATAGTAATAGGTGGCCAAGGTCGTTGGTGACACTAAAATTATTGATATTTAGATACATATGTATATATATTGTTATTTGTGTCTTTTGTTTATTGACCTAAATAAAGAGAAAAAAAAAATATTCAGCAATCGACAGTAAACAGCCGATATGATGGTGGTAATAGGTATATTTTCAGTTTGACGTACGGCTGGCAATTTTGATTTCACCTGTATAAATAAGTGGCAAATTAAGTTCTATAAATAGGATTGCCTTATAAGCAAACATGGGGAAAAAATAGATGTTTTATACAATCTTACATTTATAATTTTTACAAATACAATTTAATTTACAACATAATATTATTTATTTATATTTATTTGCATGCCACATTGTTACATATGAATTGTTACAGCTGAGGTGGGGGGGAATGGAGTAAGCATGGGCGGCGGTAGTCACTTACCATCAGGTGAACTGCATGCTTGTTTGTCGCCTATATAATAAAAAAAAATCTTTTCTCCATCCAAAGGTTGCCTGGAAGAGATCGCTCTTAGCTGTATGGCCGCCCGTTGTTTTCTTAGTACAATATTTTCTTGTAATTGTTTGTATTTATAATAAGTTTACTATTGTAATCTTATGGAGGAAACAATAAAGAGTATATATATATAAGAGACAATTATACACAAGTTATTGAATACATTTCTTAATAAATAAATATTTAATCAAAGCTCAGTTTTGATCGTAAGTAAAGCTCTAAACGTCTTTATCGCTTCCAGAACATCATCAGAGAAGACTTGCGGTAACTCTGAGGCGAGGAAGTGACCACCGTCGTGGATTACCGTCACATTGACTAAGTTAGGGTACTTGATCCGTAAGACGTTCGGAGGCTGGTAAATAATCTCATTTTTCGCTTGAATCACCCAAGTAGGCACTGAGGTTGGAATTCTGAAAAATATATCAATTAATCAATACATATAATAAAATCGTAACTGGCCGCTGTCTGTACATGGAAGATATATAAGAAAAACTATTATAGGGGGCTTTATGAACGCAATAGAACACAAAACAATGATTTTTAGAATTTTTGTCTGTCTGTTGATCTGTACGTTTGTACACGCAAATCTCAGAAACGGCTTAACTGATTCGAACGCGGTTTTCACTAATGCGTTGCGGTTTACTTCATTCAATATTTAGTTTTTGTTTTATTTAAATCGGTTCATAAATAAAAAATGTTATATCAATCTAAAGAATTACATATATAATTTTATAAAATAACCAATCGGTTGACTGAAACTTTTTTTTATTATATATATTGGTTTTTGAAAATTCCGCCTACTCATACGAAGTCGGGTCGGATCGCTAGTTCACCAAGAGTTTTCTTCACAAAGTCCCTTCGTAAACATTACTTCAAAGTATCAAAACAATGAAGTGCTTCAATCTGTACTATTATATAATTAGTCATAACTTATATATTTATTGTTATTTATATTATTATATTATTTTATTTATTTATTTCTTATTGAATTCCATAATGTAATTAGTAGATAACATTTCAACTTCAATTATGGACCCTGTTGGGCACAGCAAGTACGAGAGAGGAGGACAACGCTTTTTTTCACTTTAGAAATAGTCTAAGGATCTGTTACAATATTATCCAGTCATTGAAATTGTATCACGATAGGTACGTATTTTCTTATTATTATTATTATTCATTATTTAAGTATTGGTGTATTAATATGTATTATGTAGAATTATTTATATATGTATTGTATTGTATGTGATTTATGTATGTATATTTTTTGTAAATATGTTTGTATGTTCAATTATCGTAAAATATATTAATGTTGTTATCTGTCAAAATATTTATTTAATTTACAAATTGATTTTGTTAAATCAATGTACCGCCATTTACTCTCTTTCTCTCTCTCTGTTTAGCGTAATGATTGACTGGTAGAGAATGTCATCAGGCATTAAGTCTACCCTGTGGACATGTTCTATTGTGTGCAAAAGTATAAATGAATAAATTGACGGAGGAATTGGTGGGCACACATAAAAAAACAAACAGTCGTACAAAAAATATAAAACCTCCTTCTTTGTTGAAGTCGGCTAAAAAAAGAAAGAATCCTTACTCGTTAACTCTCAATGACAGCTCTCTCTTAGACGTCGTGTCAGCATACAGCCTCATGGACGTGGTGATACAATTGCTTGTCCAGTAAATCATGATATTGTCAATGAGCTCATCTCTGGTAAATCGTTTTGTGAGACCGCCGTCTTTTAATTCTTTATTTTCAGCACGAGTTCCAGCCGAATACTTTTCTAGGATATACGCTAGAAGACCAGAAGGAGAATCAGTGAGCCCCACACCTGAAATAAAAGTAATTGTGTTGTATTGTAAAATATTTATTGTACATAACTCAGATTGAACACTGGTAAATGTTTTAATATACAATGGCGGACTTATCCCATAAAGGGATCTCTTACAGTCAACCTTTGAGAAGCTGAAAGAAAACTGTAGAATGTATAAGGGTAATAACCGTAGGTACAATTAAAGATAAACTAAATAATACCCAGTAAAAAAAATTAAATATATAATAAAACAGCTCTATATACCTACATATGTAAATAATAAAAGTACATGAATAATAATATAACATGAATACATAAATAAATAAAAACTTACACATATAAATACATATACACATACATACATATATATATGTATATGTATATGTATATATATATATATATATACTCATACATACACATACATATATACATAACAAATACATATATTCACAATTGGCTCAATGAAGAGGGATTTTCAGAATATTAATATAAATGCGAAAGCTTGTAAGAATGAATGGATGGAAGAACATGTGTTTATTTTTATCTAAAATAGAATGGCAAACAAGCTGACGGCCCACCTGATGGAAAGTGGTAACCGTCACCTATAGACATGAACAGTACCATGGACATAACAGAGTATACTGTTTCGCCCATGGTACCTTCCATGCGTTGCTATTCCTGAGGACTAAGTTATTATTCCTCTGTACCCTGTAACTTCACCCCTTTTATAAAATAGCTAAGTAATAAATGTTTTGTTTTATTACGACGACTTAATTTTTCTTTTACATCACAGGTATGTGACCAGTGTAGTACTGGAGTTATTGGTATACTCTATGAGTTACTAGGCTGGAGTGCAAAATTTATGAAATTTATGAAATGTTAGATTTTTTTAGATAAATTCATTAAGGACAAAGTTTTTAATTAAGTTTTTTTAATTTATGAACAACTAAATTAAGAAATTAACTACATTATTAATACTATAATATAAAATACTAAACATTTTTAATCACTAGCGTCGTTTAAGTTTTAATAGACAAGTATTTGGAGTCATCAAAAAATAAAAGAAAAAACATTATATGTAGGTACATAAAAAATTGAAGGTTTTCCTCGATTTCCCTGGCACTCCATCATCAGATACTAACTTGGTGACAATGCGACCACTACAAAGGTATAGTCCTCTCGAATAAAAAAAAAAACATTTAAAATCGATCTATAGTTTAGGGAGAAATCGGTAAACATACATAAAAAAATATACACATAGACAACAGAGCGACAACTTCCTCCTTTTGGCAGTCGTTTATAAAAAAGTAAATTGCGTGCTGTGTATAATTTAGAAAATTAAACCAATTATAACACGGATATGGCATATCTAAGCGGTTACTTTGCCACAATTAATTCTTAGTCGAATAGAAAATAAAGATCCTTCTACAATGTAACTGGCAACAGAATAAAGTCGAATGTTTAAAATTCTTACAGGCGTTAAGTACGACTCAGTATTACCTTGTAAAGTATCGCATGTTTTTTTTTTTATTTTATTATAAACTACATAGTTTTTTGCACGCTGTGATAAGTTCTTTTGTAATTTGTATTTTTATATTTTATTCCTTTTTATTGTTCATTTATGTGTTACAAACTCTTTTATAATTTATTGTTTTATATTTTATCCTTTTTTATTTGTTCATTTATGTGTTACAAATTCTTTTGTAATTTGTGTTTTCATATTTTATTCTTTTTGTTTTGTTCATTTATGTGCTAAAAAATCTTTTGTAATTTTTATATTTTATTCCTTTTTATTGTTCATTTATGTGTTACAATCTCTTTTGTAATTTGTATTTTTATATTTTATTATTTTATATTGTTCATTGTTTTATCAACTTTTAATACGAACCTACGTTAATATGGGCTATTTTTTGTTCCGGCCAATCAATATATCCTGATATCGCGCGCATAGTCGCCGATAAATACTAATGAATAGATAAGTATTATTAATTTAAGAAATTGGTCTTTAACTTCTGTATACTGAACCCTAAAAACGGAGGTATCGAGTGAAGTCTATAATCCAAATTATACGTATCCTTCCTCAGTCAGTTTCTATACTGTTGAGTGTTTATCGGTTAATGCATTGAACATTCCGATATATTAAATATTAAGGTTTGTTATAACAACTATTTATTTTTCTTGATTATTACAAATTGTTATAACTATTTCATATTAATTTTATATTATACATGTGTTATATTGTAAATGTGGAATTGTAGAAAATATCTTCATCTAATGTATGTACCTATATTAATGCAATAAATGATTTTATTTGATACGATTTGATTCTTTTTATTATTAATTTTTAAATGACTGCTTTAACTGTATTTTTTTTTTTTTTGGAATGAGACGGGGGAAATTTTGCCCAGCAGTGTGATATAATGGCTTATTGATAAATATATTTGTTTTGTCCATTCCAACTCATAATTTAGTATAATTATAATAGTGTACTTGATTTAAATAATAATTTAAATAAGTCTTGTGTTATTAAATAAATTTATAATGGTAAAATCAATTTTAGTGTCATAAAAACAATACCTGACTTTCTTGTCAGTTCTTCTCAGATGAAATTGCACTCAGAATATATTCTCTTTTTCTTTAGTTTTATGTTCTATTTTTCTATTTCTTCTCCTTTTAAGTTCTTTTTTTTTTCAATCGTCATCAAAAAGGGGGTTCTCAATTCGGTTGTATCTTGTTTTATATTTGTTACCTCATAACTCTGTCAGTTTAAAACCGATTTGGTAAATTCTTTTTTTATCTAAAAGAATACACTTATAAAATGACCATTTTTTTATCAAAATCGATTCAGTAGTTTGGTTTTTAATTAAAAAATAAAAACGATTTTGTAACATTTGAAATTAGTTTTGTTTTCTGTGGGACATAATCTTGAATTAATTCGTACTATATTTTCTAATTTTTTTTTTTTTACTATTAAAAGGGTCCCGCGATTGATTACAATCTCACCTGTTGGAAAGTGATGATGTCGTCTAAGATAGGGCTCACGAGCCCACGACTAACCTATTTACATTTGCCTTAAATTTTTTCTTATTGTAAAAAATGCCCAGTAAGTTTGTATGTACCACTTACAGATGTGCCAACTGCTGTTTATGACAGCCTTTGTCGTCACATTCTATCCTGCCAATTCATTTTGGCCTACAGCGGTCCCTCCTCTACCGAAATTAGACTATAACCAATGGTGGGGTCCGAATGAATGCAAACACATACAAGACACCAGTATTAGACCTTTTAAAGTCCATTTTAATGAATCAGTAAGTTACAATTATATCATCATCATCATCATGTTGACCTTTAACTGACCACTGCTGAATATAAGGCTCCCCCTTGAGGGGTTTCCCCAGTTGCTGCCACGCTTGGCAGGCGGATTGGCAACCACAGGCAGGGTTTAAAGTTGTTTTAAGAGGGACGCTGCTATTTATCTCTCACTCTCACTTAGTCGGCTCTTATGGCACCCACGGAATAGGAAGGGGTGGTCTATTCTACGCCGGGACCACACGGCTTACATTATATTTAATTACAATTATATATTTAGACTTTATTATGGATGGAAATAGAAAAACCGAAAATCCAATTACATTATAAATAAATAAATAAATAACACCCAATGTAATAAATTTTTTTTCTGTCTGTGCTAACGGTATACGCTGGCAGGGCACCAGTGAGGGATGATAGGTGAGAATGAAAAGGCAGGCCAGTTAGTTCATTGTGATGAATACACCTGGAACTGTATGATGGTTTCCAGGGGAAACTACGTGGAGGTCGCTCTTAATATGTATATTGCAATTAGGCTGGTAATGTCAATTTTCAAAAACAACTAAACATTTTTAAATGTTTTTGATTGATTATTTAAAAATGTATGTAATGTAACGATGTCGGATGGATGGATAGATTTTTGTTATTCTTTAACACTAAAACTATTGAACGGATTTAAATAAAATTTGGTATAACAGCCTCTTTTATTTTCCGAGGATTCCAGTATTACCCCACAGCTGCACATGATTAAGGGTCCCAAATCGGTCCCGAAACTAGTCAAGCTTACTCGATTTAATTACACGTAAGTTAAACCGGTAGTTATTATATTAAAATAAAATGTATTGTACTTTGTTCTCCAAAAAGTACTGTTAGTAAAGTCTATCGACGTATACGAGTAGGTATTTCACAACTCTAGGTGCTAGGAGCATTTTTTTAAATGGGTGGTAATGGTATGGTAACCCTGTCTGCACTATCGGTATACACCGGCGAGGTACCAGTGATAGATGACTGATGAGGATGAAAGCAGGTCAGTTAGTCCATCCTGACGAATTCAACTAGAATAAGCCACGATGGTTTCCAGGCGGAGCCACGTGAAGGTCGACCTGCTAGTAATGGGGTCAAATAGCCCCTTCCCCCCACTAGGTGCATTAGGTAGGTAAGAACCTATTGCATTCTTTTTCATTCTGCCACTATATAGTGATCAAATAATTGGTACTTATGTCCCATTATTAATTTTAGATGATAAATGACCTCAAAACCCGACTGGTATACCACCGCCCCTTCACTCCACCTCTAGAAGGCATCGGCTTTCAATATGGATTCAATACTGATACCCTGGAATCTTGGGTACAGTACTGGGCACAGGACTATCCGTTTGCCGAGCGTGAGAACTACATCAATAAGTATCCACAGTTCAAGACGAATATCCAGGGATTAGATATACACTTTGTTTGGATCTCGCCTAAGGTATGTATGTATGTATGTAAGGTATCGTGTTTCTACCGTGAATCAGTTGTGTTTGCATGGCTGTGTTTCGATTTGAAGGGTGGGATATGGCGTGAATTTACTGGGTACAGAGGAATAACACCTGAGTCCTCAGGAATAGCAACATATCATGGGCGAAACAGTATACTCTGTTATGTGCATGGTACTGCGTCTATAGGCGACGGTTACCACTTTCCATCAGGTGGGCCGTTAGCTTGTTTGCCATTCTAAGTTGTATAAAAAAAAATTTGTGATTACATGAGATGGCATACAAATTGAAGGTTCATTTGACGGAAAAGATAAGATAAGCGTAAACTACATACTTGAATGGTGTTATAGGTATCACATAACACGTTCACGTAACGAGTTTGTGATGCCATGATGATCATCATCATAATATCAACTGTTAAACATAAGCCTATAAGTATATTTTGCCCGAAATGCCACATTTGACAGACGAGTTGGCAACCGCAGTTAGGTTTTTAGAGATGTGTTGAGAGGGATACTGCTACCCATCTCTCCACCATAAGTTCCCGCAGTCGTCTCTTACAACACCCACGGGAAAGGAAGGGGTGGCCTATTCTATGCCGGGATTACACGGGTAATGCATGTATGATATAATGTATATATATATATATATATATATATATATATATATATATATACAAAAAAAAGAACAAAAATAACAATTTAAGAACAATTCTGACTATGCATTATACACTTATTCTCTTTGGGATTGACTAGTCTCCATTATTAAGAATCCCTTCTTCCGAATGGACTTATGTCACTTTGTATTAAACGGGTCAGCAGTTCGCCATTCCAAATGGTATACAAAAAATGATCTTACCATGTTAACTTAAGACTTCTTTCAGACAACGGTATACCATAATAAGGAAGTGATACCACTGCTGCTTCTGCATGGGTGGCCGTCGTCCATACTAGAATTTTATCGAGCGGTGCCTTTCCTCACAACCCTGAGTGATGAGAGAGACTTCGTGCTGGAACTGATTATTCCCAGTTTACCAGGTTATGGGTATTCTGATGTGAGTAGTATATTTATTGGTTCCAAGTCAATTCTCTAAACTCTTCAACTAGGTTAAAAGAAAAAATTGTAGTTATAGTATTGTATTAGCCGTTAACTGTGTATTGCTGAACATAGTTTCCCCTGTAAGAGGGGTTCTTTCAGTAGTTGCCACGCTTGGCAACTGCAGTTTGGGTTTTGGTGATGTCTTAAAAGCCTAATCCTAAGCCTTCACCATAAGCTCCCTTAGTCGCCATTTACGACACCTACGGGAAAGGAAGGGGTGGTCTATTTTATGCTTGGACTACATGGCTACGGTTTGGTATACCCTTATTTATTTATTTATTTAACACTTTATTGCACTAACATAACATGATTTGTTAAACAATTTTCAATACGTATAGTGTAGTACAAAAGGCAGTCTTATTGCTAAGCAATCTCTTCCAGACAACCTTTGGGTAGAAGGAATTAAAGCATAAATAGGTAGGTGGCGCGTTAAAAAAAATAGATTTGTAAAAAATAATATCTGTGACAGCATAGTCATATACACATACATCAAAAAACACATACATCCAAACATATACATATATATATACATACACATACATATATACACATAAATACATACAAATATACCATACTAATACACATATATATAACACACATAAAACTGGAAATACGTAGGACTAAGTGATTACTTACTTACTATAAGTAAGGTAGTACGAAGCTCGATCAAGTGTCATGAAGTTTAGTATACAGATACTTTTTGGGATGGAAGAACAGAGACTACTGTTTATCTTGATCATTCAATTAATCCCGGTCAAAACGAAGACGTGGTTTAAAAGAGTTTAATAAAGTTTACTATAAAGGCAGTATTGACTAATAATAAAATCTAGCCTTATTTATCTGTAGGAACGTCTTTAACCTATTAGAGGCCCTGGGCACAGTAGGATAATGGGGCCCCTATGACCATACCATTGGTTATAGTCTAATTTCGGTAGAGGAGGGACCGCTGTAGGCCAAAATGAATTGGCAGGATAGAATGTGACGACAAAGGCTGTCATAAACAGCAGTTGGCACATCTGTAAGTGGTACATACAAACTTACTGGGCATTTTTTACAATAAGAAAAAATTTAAGGCAAATGTAAATAGGTTAGTCGTGGGCTCGTGAGCCCTATCTTAGACGACATCATCACTTTCCAACAGGTGAGATTGTAATCAATCGCGGGACCCTTTTAATAGTAAAAAAAAAAAATTAGAAAATATAGTACGAATTAATTCAAGATTATGTCCCACAGAAAACAAAACTAATTTCAAATGTTACAAAATCGTTTTTATTTTTTAATTAAAAACCAAACTACTGAATCGATTTTGATAAAAAAATGGTCATTTTATAAGTGTATTCTTTTAGATAAAAAAAGAATTTACCAAATCGGTTTTAAACTGACAGAGTTATGAGGTAACAAATATAAAACAAGATACAACCGAATTGAGAACCCCCTTTTTGATGACGATTGAAAAAAAAAAGAACTTAAAAGGAGAAGAAATAGAAAAATAGAACATAAAACTAAAGAAAAAGAGAATATATTCTGAGTGCAATTTCATCTGAGAAGAACTGACAAGAAAGTCAGGTATTGTTTTTATGACACTAAAATTGATTTTACCATTATAAATTTATTTAATAACACAAGACTTATTTAAATTATTATTTAAATCAAGTACACTATTATAATTATACTAAATTATGAGTTGGAATGGACAAAACAAATATATTTATCAATAAGCCATTATATCACACTGCTGGGCAAAATTTCCCCCGTCTCATTCCAAAAGAAAAAAAAATACAGTTAAAGCAGTCATTTAAAAATTAATAATAAAAAGAATCAAATCGTATCAAATAAAATCATTTATTGCATTAATATAGGTACATACATTAGATGAAGATATTTTCTACAATTCCACATTTACAATATAACACATGTATAATATAAAATTAATATGAAATAGTTATAACAATTTGTAATAATCAAGAAAAATAAATAGTTGTTATAACAAACCTTAATATTTAATATATCGGAATGTTCAATGCATTAACCGATAAACACTCAACAGTATAGAAACTGACTGAGGAAGGATACGTATAATTTGGATTATAGACTTCACTCGATACCTCCGTTTTTAGGGTTCAGTATACAGAAGTTAAAGACCAATTTCTTAAATTAATAATACTTATCTATTCATTAGTATTTATCGGCGACTATGCGCGCGATATCAGGATATATTGATTGGCCGGAACAAAAAATAGCCCATATTAACGTAGGTTCGTATTAAAAGTTGATAAAACAATGAACAATATAAAATAATAAAATATAAAAATACAAATTACAAAAGAGATTGTAACACATAAATGAACAATAAAAAGGAATAAAATATAAAAATTACAAAAGATTTTTTAGCACATAAATGAACAAAACAAAAAGAATAAAATATGAAAACACAAATTACAAAAGAATTTGTAACACATAAATGAACAAATAAAAAAGGATAAAATATAAAACAATAAATTATAAAAGAGTTTGTAACACATAAATGAACAATAAAAAGGAATAAAATATAAAAATACAAATTACAAAAGAACTTATCACAGCGTGCAAAAAACTATGTAGTTTATAATAAAATAAAAAAAAAAAAATGCGAAACTTTACAAGGTAATACTGAGTCGTACTTAACGCCTGTAAGAATTTTAAACATTCGACTTTATTCTGTTGCCAGTTACATTGTAGAAGGATCTTTATTTTCTATTCGACTAAGAATTAATTGTGGCAAAGTAACCGCTTAGATATGCCATATCCGTGTTATAATTGGTTTAATTTTCTAAATTATACACAGCACGCAATTTACTTTTTTATAAACGACTGCCAAAAGGAGGAAGTTGTCGCTCTGTTGTCTATGTGTATATAGTTTTTTTTTATGTATGTTTACCGATTTCTCCGTAAACTGTAGATTGATTTTATTTTATTTTATTTTTTATTCGAGAGGACTATAGTCCGCGACGACTACAAAGGTATACCTTTGTAGTCGTCGCATTGCCACCAAGTTAGTATCTGATGATGGAGTGCCAGGGAAATCGAGGAAAACCCTCAATTTTCTATATACCTACATATAATGTTTTTCTTTTATTTTTTGATGACTCCAAATACTTGTCTATTAAAACTTAAACGACGCTAGTGATTAAAAATATTTAGTATTTTATATTATAGTACTGATAATGTAGTTAATATTTTAATTTAAATAAAAAAAAACTTAATTAAAAACTATATCCTTAATGAATTTATCTAAAAAAAATCTAACATTTCATAAATAAATAAGTTTTAATGTTACAAATTAGACTTCAATTATTTTATTTAAAAAAATCATGATATATTTTGAAATTCTGATCACGGAATGATGAAAATCTAGTTATTGTGTACTCCTCATTTAGAACTTAGTTTATATTACCCGTTCAAATTAAATAGCAATGCCACTATTATACATTGCGTATAAGGAGATACGTTTTTTAATTGTTCGTTTTCTCAATTACGTTACTATTGCTATTTCATAATGCATACGCTCAAAGCCGTAGGACTTACGGCATTCTCTTTCTACGGTCTCATATTAATTTTATGAGTAATAAAACTGCCATTTTTCAGTGCTGAACATAAAACGGTTTTTTTTGGGACACTTCTTTAGAAACTATCATATATATATATATATATATATATATATATATATATATATATATATATATATATATATATATATATATATATATATATATATATATATATATATATATATATATATATATATATATATATATATTACCTACTATACATATAATATACAACTATAATTCATAATTTGCCGTGTTGTCCCAGCATAAAATAGGCTACCCCTTCTTTTCCCGTTAGGTGTCGTAAAAATCGACTAAGGGAGCTTAATGGTAGAGGAATGGGCAGGAATCGGCTCTCTTAAAACATCTCCAAAGCCTAACTGCAATTCCAATCCAATCCTATGCCAATCCGCCCGCCAAACGTGGCAACTACTGGCAAAACCGCCTTAGGGAGAGGCTTATGTTCACCAGTGGACAGTAAAAGGCTGATAAGATGATAGCTCGTAATGTAAAATAAAAAAAAAAGAAATACATAATTTACCAAAAACAGACAAAACACTTTAATAAAAACAATCACAACTCTGTTTTAATATTTCTATTAAAATTTCTGAACGATTGTACAGCGGTGAACAAGTCGTCAGCGAACACTCGCGGCAGTTCCGTGGCGAGGAAGTGGCCACCGTCGTGGAGGACTGTCACGTTGACCAGGTTAGGGTACTTGAGTCTCAAAATGATGGGAGGCTGGTATGATATCTCGTATTTGGCTTGTATCACCCACGTAGGTACTGGGGTTGGGTGTCTGTAATAGCAAAAAAAAGTTTAGAGAATGATCTATTTTATCATCAATAATAAGATAATTTAATAGTCGAGGAATGGGCAGCAGCGTCCCTCTTAAAGCATCACCCAAAGACAAACTGCAGTTTTTTTTTAATGGATGATAATAGAATGGTAACACAGCCTGCGCTATCGGTATACACCGGCGGGACACCAGTGAGGGATGATAGGTGAGGATGATAAGGCATGTCAGTTAGCCCATCGTGATAGATATATCTGGAATTCAACACGATGGTTTCTAAGAGGGATCACGTGGAGGTCGACCTGACGGGGTATATTGTTAGCAATGGGACTGGTAGGCCGCATTACTAACAATCCCTCATTATTAAGTCCCTCCCCCCTCTCTCGGGCCATATATCTCATTTCTCACTGGTACCCCGCCAGCGTATACTGATAGCGCAAGTAAGGTTACTATTTAATTATCAGTCATTAAAAAAGAAATTTTTTTTTTATATAACTTAGAATGGCAAACAAGCTGACGGCCCACCTGATGGAAAGTGGTAACCGTCGCTTATAGACATGAGCAGTACCATGGACATAACAGAGTATACTGTTTCGCCCATGATACTAGAAATCGACTTTTGTACAAAGTCTCCCTCTGGTAACCACATTTTGTTTGTTTCAATTAGCAATATAGAATAGATTTTATCCTAATAGAAACAAATAACCAATAGATGGCAGTAGTAAACAAAACATATACCATGTTACTCGTAGCTAGTACGTTTATAAAGTGTTTAACTTTTTTGGTCACGTTATTTTAACTTATATATATGGTAACTCTTAAAACTTACTCGATAACCTTCATGGACAGTTGTTTCTTACAAACTGATTCCGCATACAGTCTCATAGATGAAGTTACCGAGTTAGTAGCCCAGTAAAACATCAGATTGTCAATTAGGTGCTCTCTCGTGAAGTACTTAGTGAGTCCACCATCTTCCAATTCCCGGTTATGAGCACGAGTCGCTACTGAGACCTTCTCTAGATTATACGCCAATAGACCAACAGGGGAATCGGTGAGGGCAACTCCTGGAATGGAAATATATTTTTTTTTTTATACAACTTAGAATGGCAAACAAGCTGACGGCCCACCTGATGGAAAGTGGTAACCGTTGCCTATAGACATGAGCAGTACCATGGACATAACAGAGTATACTGTTTCGCCCATGATACCCCCCATGCGTTGCCATTCCTGAGGATTCAGATGTTATTTCTCTGTACCCAGTAAATTCACGCCATATCCCACCCTTCAAATTGAAACACAGTCATGCAAACACATATTTAGGCATATAAACAATACAAATATATACATTGACAACATACATTTGCCAATCCGCCTGCCAAGCGTGGTAACTACTGGCAAAACCCCCCTAGGGGAAGGCTTATGTCCAGCAGTGGACAATGGCTGATATGATGACGATGATACATTAAAAAACGAAATATAGTTTTTGCATCAAATATAGACATGCACGACATTGATATAATACAAAAAGACGTTTATAAATACAAAAAATGATATATTTTATAGATATTTAAGACTCAAATCAATACTTTTAGATAATATCTTAACCTTAAATGACTGTAGTTGATGATGAAATGTATAATTTTTGTTATACATTTCATTTTGTTATGGGCGCATGCAAAAAATCGGTTCTGTAAAGAGGAATTTGAAGAAATATTCCTATCCATTAATTTACGAGAAAAATATTATTTACTAGCTTTTTGCCCGCTACTTCGTACGCGTGGATTTAATGTATCAAGATCAAAATCATCAATCAACATACATCAAATGTTTAAATGACCTTCAAGAACATAAATGTGAATCTGGATCCAATTTTTGTAGTAATTTTAACCATTACTAGTGAATCAGAAGCAAAAAGAGGTTTTGTGTAGTATGAAAACAAAATTGCATGTAATTTAAAAATTATATTCAAACACTTCCGACCTTAGGGGAGGAGTGCTTTCTCTGGTCCCAAGGGAATTGTCAAGGTGTAAATAGGGCATCGAGTTAAGAGATCGCATCAATAATTTCACTACCTTCTAAAAGAAAGATGACGTTATTACCACTGAGGGTAACGCCATCTAGTGTCAAGACCTTCTAGACTATTTGCGTCATAAATAAAAGCGTCTGTCGTATATTACCGAACGACGACTTAACGTGCCTTCCGAAGTACTAAGCAAGTGGCAATTATTTTTAAATAATTCAAACATGTATTTAAAAATTCAGAACTTAAGGCGGGAATTGGGTATTTCCCAATTATTGTCTTATTGTAATACAAACTTTTTGCTCACCTATCGTATCAGGTTTAGTAGCTTGAATATGGAAATATCCTGACTCTTCTATCAAAAAAGATAAGCTCTTCGATAGAGGGTATAACCGTTCCACCAGTTCTGAGTCCACGAAGAGAGATGGGTAGATTGCTATCAGGAATTCAGCTAAGATAGATTTCAGATCTCTTTGTACTCCTAAATTTGTATGGTGTCCTAATACTTCCTGCAATAATAAAATAAAGTGCCTATTAGATAAATTATTAAAGAATAACAGGTATATTACAATAGGTAATCTTATTAATAAATAATATATAGATATACACGGTAATGAAAATAAGAAATAAACAATAGAAATAAATGCAACGATGGGTCACGCGAGAGAGACACAAATAATGGCCTATCCCTGTAAGCTGTAAGTCATATGTCGTTAAGAAGGATAAAGTGTCGCCCGCAAAAGGTAATTGTTATTATAATAATATTTGTATCTTCAATAATATCATTTTATTTTTAAATTTCAACGCTTGTAGATTACGTACAGGGGGAGGCAAATTGTTCCAACACTTAGGAGCAGTCTATTTAAAGCTGCCACAGAAGTATAGAAGATACGTATAAAGATAGCTTTAACGATAAACGATATGAAAGAGTTCAGAGGAAATTTGCACGTGTTCTATATAGTAAACTTTACGGCTACTATCCATATTTGTACCCATCACTGTTCGTATCCGGTATGGTAGGTCTAGAAACGCTCGAGGTAAGGCGAAAATGCAATTTGATGATGCACTATTATCGGTTGCTCAACGGCGGAATAGACAATCTTGCAACTCTCAGCCGTTGTTCTTTGTACGCACCCCAACGCTGCATGCGATTGCGCGCTTGTCGACTACTATCGGCACCGCCGGTTCGCACCTGTACTGCTCAGTTTGCTCCCACTTATCCGGCTATTTCTCTGCTCAATACTCCGATTGCTCAGCAGCCAGATATTGATATATTTAATGACAAAATTGATATATTTTTAAAATGTTGTACAAAATTTGTAAGTTTGTAAAATAAACCTATGGCTCACTACACGTTTTGGAAGACTGTAAGTGTGGTGAGTAATTTTCAAATAAATAAATAAATAAACATTTCACCCGGTAGTTTTATACTTACATTAGGAAACAGCGTTGCCATATTGCTACATATGACGGCACCCCAATCTCCGCCTTGAATGTAGAATCGCTTATGGCCAAGTCTATGCATAAGATTCCTAAAGACGACTGCTACTTCAATTGCTCCTAATCCTGGACGAACTGCTGCCTGTAATAGAGAGATATATATTAGCTTCCACCTTAACGTTAGTAATGATAATAATCTTCAAGATAGATATACATTTTTTTATGCAAAATAGAAGGGCAAACAAGCTGACAGCCCACCTGATGGAATGTCGTAACCGTCGCCTATAGACATAAGCAGTACCATGGACATAACAGAGTACTGTTTCGCCCATGATACTCCCCATGCGTTGCCATTCCTGTCGATTTTCTTCATATCAATCACATATCTACATTTATTTCGATTATATTTTTTATTTGAGTACAGTCGGTATTTAATATATGTATTCATTATTAAGGCCACATGAATATGTGTGGTCCCTGCATAGAATAGACCAGCCCTTCCTTTTCCGTGGATATCGTAAGGGGGAACTATGAGGCCTTAATCGAGTGATGGGCTGGAGCGTTATTTTTAAACCACCAAAGCCTAACTACGATTGCCGGGGGGAAGGGATTGTTAGTAATGCGGACTACCAGTCCCATTGCTTGCAATATACCCTGTCAGGTCGACCTCCACGCGGTTCCCCTGGAAACCATCGTGCTGAAGACCAGGTGTATTCATCACAGTGGGCTAACTGACCTGCCTTTTCATTCTTACCTATCATCCTTCACTAGTGCCTCGCCTGCGTAGCGATAGCGCGGGCGGAGTTACCATTCCATTATCATCCATTAAAAAAAAAACTACGATTGACAACTTGTCCGCCAAGCATGACAACTACTGCCAAAACTCTCCTTATGGGGGAGGTCTGTGTTCGGCATTAGACAGGTAACGGCTGATACGGGATAAATCACTAACAACACAAAATGTTACAGGTCACTGTTATATGGTGGCTATCGTGCAATTCATAGCAAAATGTTTTCCGTCCAATATAATTAGATCTTTTTATTGTTCAATATGTACTTAGGTGTTCATGACGCGCGTCGAAACTGTGAGAGATATATTTGTCTCTTTTATGATGTATTCGCTACACTGTGTGCACTGTACTATTCATTCATTAGATGAGACGTCAAACTTGCTGGTTTTTTGTTAGTGTGAATGTGTGAATATAATTATTTTACAGTTACTAACACACGTATAATTGCAATGTGCGTGTTCACTTTGTTGCTTGTAAAAACTCCGGTGGATTTCTGCGCGCCTAGTACTATTAGTTGTTTTATATTGTGAATATTTAAATAAGAATTTAGGTAATTTGGAGCAATCATAAAAAAATACATTTAAAAGTATAGAGTTTTAGTAAATTTATTTGTTTTTAAATAACTTTATTGACCAAAAGAAAATATGGTAAAAAGACGGATTTAATGCTAGTGGCATCCTCTGCCAGTCAACCCTTGGGATGAACAATGAGTCACGAACGCGGTACTTCATTATTGGAATAGATAAAGAAAATAACAGTTCAAAATGTATGCCTATACATAAGAAATAATTTTGTGCAAACGAGCGGACGCCCTAAAATATGGTTTTATTGGATGATAATGGAATGGTAACCCCGCCTGCGCTATTGGTGTACGCTGGCGAGGCACCAGTGAGGGATGATAGGTGAGGATGAAAAGGTACCTAGGTCACCTATAGACATTAAAACTACAATACAGGTACAATCTGATGAGAGTACACTATGATTCCCGCCATACACATACGTTGTCACCCCTGATAACTAAAAATGTACACCTCCATATTTTGTAATTTCACTGCTATAACACCACAGTGGACTAACAATCTAACTTTATTGTTTTCCATTTATTTCATTCTCTAGTCCCGGAGTGGCCGATTTGACTACACCCAAGATCAACTATTAACTGACGAAATACTGTGCAATCGGGTGGGGGGAAAGGGATTGTTAGTAATGGAGACTGAGAATCCTATTGCTAGCAATATACCCAACCAGGTCGATCTCCTCGCGGTTCTCCCTGGAAACTATCATGGTTAATTCCTGATGAATTCATCATGATGTGCTAACTGGCCTGTTTTCATTCTCATCTATCACCCTTCACTGGTGCTCCGCAAGCGTATCCCGTTAGCGCAGGCGGAGTTACCATACCATTTTCACCCATCAAAAAAAAAACTGTGCAATCTACTAATGACATACTTTTTGAAATCTCAAATGAAACAACATAATTCACTATACTGTAATGTAGTATTTTTTTATTTTATTAAGAGGGATAAAACTAAAAATCATGATTAGTAGCTACTTATTTATATTAGTGTGAGCATTGCGTCTGAGCATCTTTTGCTAAATTTGCACCTCTGTTCCATTTCTGTTTCTACCGTGAAGCAGTTGTGTTTGCATAGCTGTGTTTCGGTCTGAAGGGTGGGATACAGGGTACAGAGGAATAACACCTGAGGCCTGAAATGGCAACGCATGGGAGGTATCATAAGCGATAGAGTATACTCTGTTATGTCCATGGTACTGCTCATGTCTATAGGCGACGGTTACCACTGTCCATCAGGTGAGCCGTCAGCTTGTTTGCCATTCTAAGTTGTATAAGTAAAAAAAAAATAGCAAAATATATTTTTTGTGTTGCCACGATTGAATGGACTAATAGTCGCGATCGACCGGTTGACCACCCTTGCTCTAGCCCCTCATTGTATACAATTAACATACGCAGAAGCACCATTTGACTGATTAAAAAAAGTCGGTTATACCCAACCAATTGTTATAAATTGACCATACCTCCACAACCTAGAGCATGTTATTCCAAACAAGAGAAATGCATCTTCCTATATACAGATAGACAGATAATTTGTATCTGATAAACCCAGATTATATAGATAGAGCATCGAGTCTTAAATACGGGTCAACTTTTTGTCAGCTAATTGTCAAATTAACTGACAATTTTTTTTATCAGTGTTTAATATACTTACGCATAAAATATTCGTTATTATTGAATAAGTGAAATGAGTGTTTACGCATTAAAAAGATGCAGAAATTATAAGACAAAATAAATATAGAAGTTATAAAGGAATCACTCTCTCATAACAATTTATCACGCAAAATTGTATGGAAAAGTTGTCCCGTTTTTCTCGAATCATTTCTATGGAGACACTCTATCTATATAAGTTAACCGATTATAAAATACCAGTTTAAGATTTCTCACTATCAAATACATACTTACATCAGAATATCCATATCCTGGTATACTGGGTATGATAAGTTCAAATACGAAGTCCTTGCCCTTGTTGACGGCTGTCAGAAGAGGTATTACCGAATAAAACTCCAGAACTGAAGATGGCCATCCATGCACAAGTAGCAATGGCACTACCTCTACATTTCCTGACACCTGGAAATTGAGAACAGAATCGAATAAAAAAATTTAGTAATGTGGACTACCAGTTCCAGCGATAGCAATGTTGACTTCCACGTGGAAACTATTGTGTCATCACGATGGGCTAACTGACCTACCTCTTTATTTTTACCTATCATCCCTCACTGATTCCTCGTCAGTGTATACCATTAGCGCAGGCGGAGCTACCATTCCATTATCAGCCATTAAAAAAGTCTTCTGTGCCGCAGTAGTAGCTTTGGGTAAGATAGAAGGAAGTAGGGGAAGAGGGAGACCAAGGCATAGTTATACCAGGCAGGTCAAGAAAGGAGTTGGTGTCGTGTCATATCAAGAGGTGAAGAGACTCGCTGAAAATCACAGTGAGTGGCAAGAGCTCCACCGACAAGAGCGCAGCTCTTAAATAGGATAGATATATGTCTAATATATCTGTTATTGGGCCAATATACGTATAGGTATTGTAACTACAATATATATAAATATCTTATAACAAATTAACTCCTGAGATTTACCACGTACCTGAGGTTTAATTCTGAGGAAGTGTATATCCAAGCCCTGAATATTGGTCTTGAACTGCGGAAACTTGTTGATGTACTTCTCCCGTTCCCTGAACGGGTACTCCTCCGCCCAATACCGGATCCACGGGTCCAGGGCTTTGCTGTTGAATCCGTATTGGAAACCAATTCCTTCGAGCGGAGGGGTGAAGGCGCGATGATTCCTCAAACGACTTCTGAGATCATTTATCATCTGCAGATGTATATGTAATATATTTTTTGTATGCGACGTGAAACGATGATATCCGCAAAAGAACCAAAGTAACCGACATAGCCCGAAGGATGAGCATGATGAAGTGGCAATGGCTGGTCACCGTTAGCTTGTTTGCCATTCTAAGTTGCATAAAGAAGAACATAGCTCGAACCGACATTACAGGGAGTCAGTGGATGCAAATGGCTCAAGACCGTTCTTTATGGCAGTCTATATGGGAGGCCT